TGTTCTCTGGCAGGTTCCCATCTTTTTGTTTGATACGGGGGTGAAGGGAAGATGAACCGGAGGCGGTCGCTGACACATCCATCTCTCCACGTTTAGTTGGATTTTAAAGATTCAGATGAGATTTCAGGATGAATTCTGATGTCTGCAAAGCTCTGGCCCACATCCAGGAGCGTAAACCAAACACTCAGCAGATAGGGCGCTGTCGATCCTTCCACCTCCAGCTTTTGTCAGCGACGCCAGACCAGATCAAACAAACAGCTGGAGGGTTAAAGAAACACCACTGAAGTTCTCAGATTAGTTTAATTTATAGATTTAATCTCTGACCAAATGACAGATTTTTATCTGTTATTTACAGAGTAGAGATCTGTGAGCATAAAGGTTCTGAGAAGCTCCACGTGAACAACCTGTGGTGTGTTGGAGAACCCTGATGTGGTCGGTCCAATAATAGAAACTAAAGACAGAGACGGAAGGCAGAGAATGGTGTGTGTGTGTGGTGCTGGGGGGTGGGGGAGCAGCGGGATCGGCACACCCCTGCGGCAGAGGTGTCGGGAAGAGATCATCTTCTATCCTCACCTCCCGACAGAGCTGTCAAGATGTTCAGACTCGTGATTTAACCTCCCCGCTTTACAGCTTCATCCTCACTCTGGATGTTTAGCCGCGAGCGCGCGCGCGCACGCACACACGCACACGCACACGCGCACGCGCACGCGCGCACACACACACACACACACACACACACACACACACACACACACACACACACACACACACACACACACACACACACACACACACACACACACACACACACACACACACACACACACACACACACACACACACACACACACACACACACACACACACACACACACACACACACACACACACACACACGTCAGAATAAAGGACGCTCGATGAGAAAGAATTCAGCAGAAGCAGCAGATTTAAACACTTTACTTTTGTCACTGAACATCACACAGAACTGATGAGAGCGCACGTGCTCCTTAGTTAGTCTCAGATACAAATATTGCTTTTTAATCTTTTACTTAAACCGTGCTCTTCTCTTCGGGTCGTCGTCGCCATTCTTTACGCATCAGAAAGTGATGAGGACATAAAATGAGTCACAAGTAAACAGATAAAGTTCAGATCATTTCTAAAACGTTGATTTGGGTCTGTCGTCTCACCAGCTGAACAAAACGAAACATCAGAGAAACATTTGTTTCTGGTCATTCCTCCAGTTTTCCTTTTATTAAACGAAACTTTAATGTTTTTCACCAGGAAGTGACGACGAGGAACGAAACATGTGGAGGTGGCGGCTGTGGCTGAAACAGCAGAATCAGACAATCCCAGACTTTGGATTAAGTCAAGTCACCCTTCAGAAATCCAACTAAAGGGTATCGCCATCGTTTTCTCTACTCACCGCTGACAGACATGGGACTAGGAACTAGGTGCGATACGACTAGGAGGTGAAGCCAACGACTCGAAGCAGAAAAAGGGAAACTTTTAAAGCCTCTTTCCTCGAACAGAGCGCTCACGAAAGGGTGAACATCTAAAGCGGGCCTTCACTCGCTACTTCAATAAACTCGGGGGTCAGGACATGGAGTCTTCATTATTCACATATCTCTTCTCTGATTGGCTAACAGCAACAGGACTAACACCAACTCAGTTTGCTCTGCAACGTTGATGTTTTCTCTCCACGAATAACAAGCCTGGAGGAGTTCTGCTGTGTGGTGGAATTGCTAACGCTAATGTTAGCTTCTATTAGCGAATACTTATTTGCAGTTTCCTGGATGCTAAACCAACAGCCTTCCCTGTCACGAGCAAAGATCGGCGAGTTCAATTAATGCTCATTTCCAGTGAGACGAGGATCTGAACAGCGTTTCCTCGTCTTTAACAACGGCTCAGGCAGGAGAAATGTTAGCCTGCATGTTTAACGATCACATTTCAAAAACAACAAGTAAATAATGGTTTCTTAGTGAACTTGGCCTTTGCGATTCCTCACTGCCACATGAATAAATCACATGCCAAACCCATCTCACTGTTGGATTGATGAGCTAACGGCTAGTCTGAGTGAGGTCAACTTAAAGCAGTCTTTATCTGTTAAATATCGCAGCGGTTCATGAAAATATTGTTTTTTTAACCTTTACACCAACATTTACACGGTTAATCCTGAGTTTTGCTGCTGAACAGGAAGCAGCTGCTGCTGTTTGAGCTGCTGATAAAATTTAGTTAAAAACTATCGATGAGGGAAGAGCTGTTAACGGGGGGGGGGGGGGGGGGGGGGGGGGGGGGTCAGGGTCGTAACAGGAAGCAGTTAATGTGCCATCATGGTTGGTTGTTTTATTATCCAGCTAATGTTTCTAATGTTAATTTATTTCTGCTTTAATTTGATTTCCAAAGTTCAGTTTTATTTCTTTAGATTATTTTTTCATAAACTCGTCTCAACAGGAAAAGTCAGACTGAAGCCCAAAAGCGTTTGTTTGGGTGCTTACAAAAGGCCGAGTGAAGCTGTGACCGTGTTTACACGGTGAGGTTCGTAGCCTCTAACCAGGAGTTTGACTGTAAAATCAAGTCGTGTTTAATCAGTTTGTCCTCCAACACCAGGATGATGTTCTGTCTCAGTCCTAGAAAAACCCACCGAGAACATTTACGCACGATGCTCAACGACAGACACTAAGGCACTTGATTGTTCATAGTCTGATTGTAGTTTGAGTTCTACCCATCGCCTTTACGTCACTTCCTGTTAACTAAATAAAAAACTTAAACTCAAGTATGAAAATGCTACATCAGATCCTGCAAACACACACAACCTGTTATTTAGGGTCCTGAAATGAGACCGTTGCACCAGAACAAAGCCCGGTTCTAAAACTTTAGTTTTGTGCTTGGAGACGTCCTTGGAGATAGTGCAAAATAAGTTTTATTTACACAGGAGGACTAAACCTTCCAGAGTTTATCTTCATCTGGAGCCCGAAACAACACTTTCACCAAGGGTGAGACCGTGACTCGGTTCCGCTCTGAAGGTGAAACCGTGACTCGGTACTTCTCTGAAGGTGAGACCGTGACTCGGTTCCCCTCTGAAGGTGAGACCGTGACTCGGTTCCGCTCTGAAGGTGAAACCGTGACTCGGTTCCGCTCTGAAGGTGAAACCGTGACTCGGTACTTCTCTGAAGGTGAGACCGTGACTCGGTTCCCCTCTGAAGGTGAGACCGTGACTCGGTTCCCCTCTGAAGGTGAGACTGTGACTCGGTTCCCCTCTGAAGGTGAGACCGTGACTCGGTTCCGCTCTGAAGGTGAAACCGTGACTCGGTTCCGCTCTGAAGGTGAAACCGTGACTCGGTACTTCTCTGAAGGTGAGACCGTGACTCGGTTCCCCTCTGAAGGTGAAACCGTGACTCGGTTCCGCTCTGAAGGTGAAACCGTGACTCGGTACTTCTCTGAAGGTGAAACCTTGACTCTGTACTTCTCTGAAGGTGAAACCGTGACTCGGTACTTCTCTGAAGGTGAGACCGTGACTCGGTTCCCCTCTGAAGGTGAGATCGTGACTCGGTTCCACTCTCAGAGTGAGACCGCGACTTGGTTCCCCTCTGAAGGTGAGACTGACTAGATTCCCTTCTGAAGGTGAGACCGTGACTAGATTCCCCTCTGAACGTCAGACCGCGAATTGGTTCCCCTCTGAAGATGAGACCGCGACTTGGTTCCCCTCTGAAGATGAGACCGCGACTTGGTTCCCCTCTGAAGATGAGACCGCGACTTGGTTCCCCTCTGAAGGTGAGACCGTGATTCGGTTCCCCTCTGAAGGTGAGACTGTGTCTCATTTAAACATTCAGAGGGTGAGACCATGACTTGGTTCCCCTCTGAAGGTGAGACCGTGACTTGGTTCCCCTCTCAGAGTGAGACCGTGACTCGGTTTCCCTCTCAGAGTGAGACCATGACTCGGTTTCCCTCTCAGAGTGAGACCATGACTCGGTTTCCCTCTCAGAGTGAGACCATGACTCGGTTTTCCTCTCAGAGTGAGACCATGACTCGGTTCTGCTCTGAAAGTGAGACTGTGACTCGGTTCCTCTCTGAAAGTGAGACCGTGACTCGGTTCCCCTCTCAGGGTGAGACCGTGACTCGGTTCCCCTCTCAGAGTGAGACCGTGACTCGGTTCTCCTCTCAGAGTGAGACCGTGACTCGGTTCTCCTCTCAGAGTGAGACCGTGACTCGGTTCTCCTCTCAGAGTGAGACCGTGACTCGGTTCTCCTCTCAGAGTGAGACCGTGACTCGGTTCTCCTCTCAGAGTGAGACCGTGACTCGGTTCTCCTCTCAGAGTGAGACCGTGACTAGGTTCTCCTCTCAGAGTGAGACCGTGACTCGGTTTCCCTCTCAGAGTGAGACCATGACTCAGTTTCCCTCTCAGAGTGAGACCATGACTCAGTTTTCCTCTCAGAGTGAGACCATGACTCGGTTCTGCTCTGAAAGTGAGACAGTGACTCGGTTCCTCTCTGAAGGTGAGACCGTGACTCGGTTCCCCTCTCAGAGTGAGACCGTGACTCGGTTCCCCTCTCAGAGTGAGACCGTGACTCGGTTCTCCTCTCAGAGTGAGACCGTGACTCGGTTCTCCTCTCAGAGTGAGACCGTGACTCGGTTCTCCTCTCAGAGTGAGACCATGACTCGGTTCTCCTCTCAGAGTGAGACCATGACTCGGTTCTGCTCTGAAAGTGAGACAGTGACTCGGTTCCTCTCTGAAGGTGAGACCGTGACTCGGTTCCCCTCTCAGAGTGAGACCGTGACTCGGTTCCCCTCTCAGAGTGAGACCGTGACTCGGTTCTCCTCTCAGAGTGAGACCGTGACTCAGTTCCCCTCTCAGAGTGAGACCGTGACTCGGTTCTCCTCTCAGAGTGAGACCGTGACTTGGTTCTCCTCTCAGAGTGAGACCATGACTCGTTTCTGCTCTGAAAGTGAGACTGTGACTCGGCGTTTCCTGGAGAACACAGATGATTGGAGGAGAAACGATCTGCTGACATCATGGTTTCTTTTATTTGAGCAGAGATGAACGTTATTGCCTCTGAGAACGACGATGCCAGAAACTAAACCTGTGAAGATTTGTTTCTGATTCCCACGGACAAAGTCTCACAACCTGCTCCTCTTCCTCCTCCTCCTCCTCCTCCTGCTCTTCTTCCTCTTCTTCTACACCTTCTGAGGAACGTCCTTCTTCTGCCCCCTCATGTTTACAACCAAATGTCTTAGTCCGACTCTTCTGTCTTAATTTGTCTTCGGCACCATTAGATGGTCCTCCGTCTTCCTCCTCTCGCTCTTCCTCCAACTCATTTTCCTCCTCATCCTCTGTATCCTCCTCCTCCTCCTCACCAGCAACCATTAGGCCAAATTTGTTATGATTAGTTAGTTGGAGGAAGGAGGCGTGGGGTGCAGAAGGGCAGGTAGAGAGGGCGGAGTCATACACAGAGAACGGCAGGTGGAGGTAATGTCCGGCAGCTGCTGCAGCAAACACGCAGCAGCACTCCGGCTGACCGCCGCGCACCATCCGAAAACGCTTCCGAAGAGGTGGTCCGGCCTCCGGTGAGAAGCAGATTCGGGTGGGTATGGTTCTGTGGAGAGCCTGGTGGGCGGGGCCCGCCGGGGGAGGCAGGATGCAGGGGCCGCCAGCGAACGCCGAGTTGGGCGGGAAGCACCAATCTGAACTCTGGAGCAAGATCTCCGTCCGCAGACGCCGCAGGAGGTTATTGACGAGGACGGAGCGTCGGAGGAAAGCTTCTGGGTCGTCGATGAACCGCATCTTCTCCAGAGAGAGGCGCAGAACGTGAGCTCGCTCCTCCAGAACCGGAGCAACCTGAGACAGGATCACATTACACCTGAAGGTGACCCGGGTCAGGAGAACCACTCACAGGATGTTGGAGAGGAAACTCACGGTCTGACAGTAGGTCCTGAAGCTGAGAGGAAGCTCTTCATCGTCGTCCACAAACTTTCTCTTGAAGTACGCGATCCTGGACATCGAGACCTGATCCGGAACCCGTCTACAGGAAGGTTCTGCAGAGACACACTCACTCATCAGCTGGTTCTGGATCACCAGGGAAAAGTTTTGTTCCCGATCAGAACCAGGTTTCAGTTTGGGAGTTAGGATGGAACTCGATTCTGCAAAATGATGTTTACGGGTCACAGAACCCGGTTCCTTTGGTCAGAACCGAAACAGAATAAAAGGGTTTGGACCAACCAGAACCTTCCAGATCAGAAACCAAACCCAAAACAGAACTCGGTTCTGTCGGAACATTTAAACAATAAAGTTCCGAATCAAAGTAAACTAAAGCAGAACCCGAAGATCCACCTGAGTCAGAACCTCTGGTTGGTACCTGGGGTAAATGGTGGTTCAGAACCACATGCCGGGTCGGACTTAGACAGGCGGGTCTTGGTGCTGTGCTCCGATTCCCAGATGGGGGGAAAACCAGAGAGAGGGGCTTCTCCCTCCGAGTCCAGGAAAGGATTCATAGACAGAACCAGGGTCATCTCTGTGTCTGGACCGGGCCTGAAAACAAGAACATTAACCAGCTGTTACCAGTCAGAACCACAGCACGGACATTGGGTCAGAACCAGAGTGGAATTAGGTCGACAGCCAGTAGGCTCTTTTGTGTTCGTACTGTGTTTTAGTCCAAAACCCATTTTTGTTGTTTTCTTACCGTTCGGTAAAAATCATTAAAACCTAAAGGATGCAGAAACCAGCTGCAACGGGCCGGTCCGGATCAGAACCACACGGGCCGGGCCGGATCAGAACCACACGGGCCGGTCCGGATCGGAGAAACACGGGCCGGCCCGGATCAGAGACACACGGGCCGGCCCGGATCAGAGACACACGGGCCGGTCCGGATCAGAGACACACGGGCCGGTCCGGATCAGAACCACACGGGCCGGTCCGATCGGAACCACATGGGCCGTCCGGACCAGAACCACACGAGCCGGCACGGACCAGAAACACACGGGCCTGTGCGGATCAGAAACACACGGGCCTGTGCGGATCAGAAACACACGGGCCGGTCCGGATCAGAACCACACGGGCCGGCCCGGATCAGAACCACAGAACAACTCTAATATAAAAGACTAATCAAAGAAGCGATGGAGATGAGGAGGCGTGGGCTCTGGACCATGAACACAGACGGTGGAACATGCGGATTGGATCACACATGGGCCGGTCTGGATCAGAACCACACGGGCCCGTGTCGTCAGCAAGGGCGACGCCGTCCTCCGCTGCTCGCCGATACAAGGAAGTGACGCCACCATCACCGGCGTTCTATCAGGATGGCTAGAGCTACTAGCTGAAACACGCAAGCTCAATAAATCATTTTTACTAAAATCTGGAAGAAAAGAACAAAAATGTGGAGCTAGCAGGCTGTTCTGGTTCTGGCAAACCCAGAAGAACCGTCATAAGGTTCCACAGACCTTTCAGTCCCACCACTAAGAGGCATCGTCCCAACAACACCAATCTGTTGAACCGGGCCGGGAAGCCAGAATCAGTGACTCCAGGACACAAAAGGGATGGCAAGGCTAGAACCAGCAGGCTCAGTTCTGACCCGGTGCTGGGTTGACCTGTTTCCAGCAGCTTCTCTAATCAGAACCATCGTGTGTGTGGGGCGGGGGGTTCTGGTGGGTCAGACTAAGCCCAGCTGTCCCTAATCAGACTCGTTTTCATCAGCTTCAGCAGCAGGAGAGCAGAACCGTCACGGTGGGGGGTGTTCACCTGTGGTTCATACATTCATCCTCTCATCTCCCCTCTCCCACTAAGTGTGGTGAAACAGCGATAGACTAATGAAAGAGTTAATTACGATGTCAGGCCGCAAGACAAGAGGTGTGTGTGTGTTGCAGGGGGTAGTCAGAGGAGAAACGATACGCGTCTGAGGAGGCTCGCCGTGAGAGACGGATCGCCTGCAGCGATGATTTCTGCTGTTTTGATCTCTCTCACACACACACACACACACACACACACACACACACACACACACACACACACACACACACACACACACACACACACACACACACACACACACACACACACACACACACACACACACACACACACACACACAAGCATTTCGAGATGCACCGATGTGAACATTTGTGTCAGATAAGGTCCGATAATACCGAAGCCATGACTGATGACGATTATTACAGATAATTAATTATTAGGGATGCTTCCATCACAATCAGACCCAATCATGGGAATTTCAAAGGATCTGGAATAATCAGGTGGGAATGATCAGATTTAACCAAGAGAACAAACCAGACTTTTAAAATTCATCCTGAGATTTTCCACTACATCAGTATTCGTTTTTGCCACGGACGGCGACAACAGCTTAACAGGAAGAGATTCAGACACCATGACATTAGGCTGTTAGCTAGCAGGCTAATGCCGAGCTAACGTGCCACCTCAGGAGAACGTTTGGACGTATTCAAAACCGTACAACAGAAGAAGAAATGATTTATTTACAGCTCAAAACACTGTTCACTGCAGCAACTCTGACAGAAACACGGAGCTAGCCAACAAAGTAAAAATGTCTACAGACAGCAACAAGGTTACAGTCAAGATGGCGAGATTTATCACGCTGGACAACGGTGGCTGCAAACGCTGGGTTTGACCATCTCCTGGAGCCGCAGTACGAGTTTCCTTCTCGTCACAACTTTACAGGTTAGCCTGTTAGCCTCATCGCTCATTACAGCCAGATACCGTTAAAACCATCTGAAATATGAGCAAACTTTTAAATACACTCGTTATAAATACACGTTTCTTCCCAATGTACCATGCTCACTTCCCTCATTTCTATGTCAAACGGGGACTTTTGGAAACAAATCGTTTGAATAAACATTTATGAAACTAAAGACAAAGTCAAGTTAGAGTCCCATTAGTCATCACACAGCGGTGAAACTCATCTCCACAGTTGACCTATTCCCACGGGGAGCGGTGAGATGCAGACACGGCAGCGCTCGGGAACCATTTGGTGGTTTTACCTCCCAATCCAACCCCTTAAAGCTGAGTGCCAAGCGGGGAAGCACTGGGTCTCATTTTTAAAGTCTTTGGTATGAGCCGACTGTGATTTGAACCCCGATCTCCCAGTGCCAGGGCGGACACTACCACTAGGCCACACTAGGGTTAAACACTGGCAGAGAATGGATGGACGGATGTTTGGAGTGTTTCTAGAGGCAATAGAGACCCACACGGCAGCACGAAAACAGGCCAAAGGTGAGTTTACTTAAGTCCCCCTTAAGATAAACACCTTCACATCATCAGGTTGAGCCGTTTAGTGGAGAACAAAACAAGGACAGACAGCAGCAAAAGCCTAAAGGTCAAAACAGGAAGTGAGGTCACATGTTTTTTTTTTACTTGACAAGGTGCATGTAGGTTTGAGCATTCACACGCTGGTCCTGTGAACCAACCCACAGAACTCCCGCCTTTAATTCCACCTTTAACTACAAACTCTGTCAAAGCTCGTAAGACTCAACGATGCGTTTTGGTACACCGCGTGAACTTAAAAACAGCCACGACCGTTTAAAACTCATCAATAATGACTGATGAGGGTTTTCCAGATGTTTATTGGCAAACATCTGTTTACAGAAACATGTTTTAGTTTAGGACATTCCACCTAGTTCTCCTAACAGGATGAAAACAGGCTTTAAAGCAGAACCTGGATCGCCTGCTGCTTCTGAGGAACGCACCAATATGCTTCTAATAAACTTTGTTCTCAGACTGTTTTTCTCTGCCGACTAATCGATCCAACATGTGTCTTCTCGCTGCATCAGTCCGGGTTCTGCTGCTGCTCCAGGTTTCTCCGTATTTCCTAGCCAACGGGGAAAAGAGGTCTGCGGTTTTCACATTAAAACAGATCCCAGGCGAGCACACAAACATGTGACTCAGAAGATACACCGCAGGTTCTGCAGACGTGAGCGGGTCACCGAGGTTCTGTTGTACTACATTACCTCAGATGACAAGCATCCCGACCGCAAGAACAAACTCCACTAATCTGGAAATGGAACCCTCTGAGATTCATCAACAAAACCAGTTTAGTCCAGTTTCAGTCAAACAACACGACGCTAAGGTCTAGCAAGTGATTGGCTAGTTGTAGCTCCGCCTCCTGTCTTTAGCGTTAGCCTCAAGTTTTTGGACCAGTCCAAACAGGTCAGAATCTCACAGGATGGAGGCATTTTTTCTTCTTCCTGATTTTTTCCGACTTGACTGGAAAACTTAAGAAATGTGACAAAAACATGGAGAGGATCCAGTTGAGGTGGCTCGGGCCCTGGATGCCTCCCTGGTGAGGTTTTCCGGGCACGTCCAACCGGGAGGAGACCTAAAGGGAGACCCAGGACATGGTGGAGGGACTACGTCTCTCACCTGGCCAGGAAACGCCTTGGGGTTTTCCGGAAAAGCTGGCCCAAGTGGCTGAGGAGAGGCTCGACTAAAGACGGTTGCCCCCGCGACCCGACTCCGGATACGTGGAGGAAAATGAATGGATCTTTAGTTTTTGCTGTACGTACTCGTTTGTTATCGGGAATCTGTATTTTAACAAAAGGTAAACATTTTTAGACATAAAGTAGGACAAATACCTGAGAAGTTCCTCATAAGATCATTCTTGTAGGAACATTTTCACGCCTCATCCTCTGCAGAAGCACCTGACTGAAGCTGATTGTATGAAAGCACTAATTTTAGATGGTGACACAATCCGCCCACAAACTGCAGGTAAACAGCAGCAGGCAGAAAGCAGGCTAATGACTAATAAGCTGCAGGAGAGAGAAATCATCTGACGCTCATCATCTTTCAGCCTCTGAGGACTCTAAACACACACAACCCACCTCTCCTCCACCCGGAGAGGCTTCATCTCATCAATACGCCTGCTGGAGTGGAGGCAGAGATCACAGCGAGACGCGGCAGGTCGAGAGGAGATAATAGCTTTAATGACATCAAACTCTCCTTTGGATCAGCAACGAGGCTCGCTGAGCCGTGAATCAAATCAGAGACACTTAAATGGAAAGCAATAAGCCTCCTGCCAGAGAGGTGGACCACCGCCACACCGCAGCGTTCAGACGGGTGAATGCATTAAAGCTGCTCTGCAGAGGAATGGAGGAGGTGTAAGAACACGCAGAGACATGGAGTCTTCACTCTGACTCGGCGACTTGATGGTTTCCCTCCAACAGCGCAACACCATCTGGCTGCAGCAGCGCTCTGATCCTGGTTTATTTATTTATTCGTTTGTTTGTTTGTGCAGCTCGCCGCCTGTCAGAACGGATCAGAGTCCCGACTCGGCCACCGTGGCGTGACGACGAGCTCGGGGTCCTCGAGGGGGTTTCGCTCATCTCTCTGAGAACTGACGCATGTGTTGTGACAGGGCAGCTGCACTACTGTCTCTCTGGGGGGGTGGGGGCTCACTGTGGCCGGGGGGGGGGGTCAACAGGTCACGGCTCTGAAGGCGGATGAGGTCCAACGACGACACACAAAGGTATCAACGTTGACCACACACTAGTCGGTGTGTTCAGGTTCATCCTGAGTGTGTGTGTGCTTTAGAAGTCCCCGTCTCAGAGACAGTCTGTTAGATAACCAAGGACCCTTTGGCGCACGCTCATGAAGGCGGGGCTACGTTCACACTACTGCTGCCAAGATTAGCCGATTACTCGCGGTTACCTCGACTACGACACACGTAATAAACAACGTCCACAGCCGACAACAACGCTTGAAAGCTGAAAAGCGTTTTATGAAAAATGGAAGAGAAGCACGTGTGAAATCTGCACGTTAGAGCCCGAACCTGCCTTCCACGACAGGATGACGGTGATGCACAAGCACCTTCAAAGGAAGCAGATCCACGTTTTTAGAGGAAAAGCCCATTTCGGGTAGTAACTCAGCACCTTCAGGCTAATAACTCCTCCCTATAAATAAATGTGGTGTCACACCTGTGGCTATTTTTGAAGCTGTGAGCTAACCGTTACTCGGAGGCTGGGTGGAACAAAGACACATTCATGATGGAGGAGGAGGAAAAGGGCCGAGGCGACACCCCGAGGTCCTAAAACACAAAACAACCCAAACTGAAAACCTTCAGCTAGTCTCCGGTTTTCATCCACACACACACACACACACACACACACACCTGCTCTTTCAGGGAAATATTACAGGTTTGATTCTGTCAGCGCCTGGGCTAAAAGGCGGCTTCAGAAAAGAGCCGCTCCTCCTGCGTTCGCTGATGTTTTCTGCTCCAGATGTGAGCTTAGGCTCCCTGCTGGGAAAGATGAATGATATGGGGGAGGGGGGGGGGGGGGGGCTGCAGGATACCAACAAGAGTCTGCTGGGAGCCAGATGTGATTGATGGCACCGAAACAGAGCTGGAGGAGTGAACTCACAGCCAGGGTTTGTGATGGAAAGCTGCAGCGCTCCAAAGACAAGGAATCTGGGATGAAAGGCGTTTGCCGAGCAGGAAAACCAGAAGTCTGTCCTCTGGTTTCAGTTCAGTCTGAGCTGGATGTTCCCTCCCAGTTGAGTGCCTCATAAACGTCCCTCCAAGGAAAACACACGGAGAAGGTGGAATTTCTGGCAAGCGTGTCCGGATGTTGTTGGCAGCGGGTGGAGGTGAAGCAACCTGAAGCTTCCATTTGAGCCAAATGTCCAAAACAAACGGTTAAAAAATGACAAGAATCTGGTTTGTGTTTGGATTTCTCTCTCAGGAGGGAGAGGAAGTGGAGAAATACGAGATGGCACCAATAAGATCAACATCTCTCCACCAATAATGCTGATTTAAGCCAAATCCAGGAGACTTTTAATCTAAATGTTTAAGTCAAAGCTGGAGGGGAATCAGAGCCACAACCAGAACCAGAACCGGATCGTTCAGCTGCAGATGAACCAGGTTCTTCTCGAGCAGCTGGATGGAGGCCAGGAGAAGGGCTGGTTCTGCTGGATCAGAACCAGTCACTTCAAACCCTCTTAACTCATCCGACCCTCACTTGTCATGAGAGCGGATTTAATGCAGATAAGATCCACATAAACCAACAGAATTCCTTCAGTGGGAGTGATCTGGAACAGGTCTGTTACATTCCTGCTAAAGCCGTTTTAAACCGTTCTAAACAGCACAGACACAGGTGTTTCCAGGTGTTTGGCTGAAATCTTACCTGATGTGAGGAGATCTGACCGCGGCTCCAGTTTCTTTGGGATTTCGGCTCCGATCCAAGATGCGTTCAGGCAGAAAAAACGGAGTTAACACCCCGCAGACCTCCCGCAGATCTAATCGGTCTCACGCGCCGTTTAAACGCGACTCCTGTGATTATTAATCCAAATTAATTATTGATTAGCTGCTTGTCAACACCGAACTGAACAGCCACTGGTCTCCCTGTTCCCGCCTTCAGCATCTTTCACGCGCTTCTACCGGTTATGGAACCTTAACGCCTGTTCTGGTTCCGTGTCAGTCGGTTCTGAAGCCCGGGTTCCTGTCCGTTCGGCCCGGTGGTTCCCGCTCACACGCTCCCGGAACAGCTCCCAGCGTCTGTCTGACAGTTTCAAATGAATCTGCGGCGGAGAAAACGGACCCTACGTCAACGTTTCTGGCCCCGCCCTCGGCTGAGGAGTTCAGGTGCCGCTCGGAATTAATAAAAGCACACTGGAACGCTTTTAAAAACGTAAACAGAAAGTTTCTCTGTTAATTATCCAACAATCAATCTTTTATTCGCCGTTTAAAACAATAAAAAAGCGTGTTGCGTGTTGTCAAAATGAAAGCAGTGATTACTTCTACAGTTTAAATCTCTTCACTGTAAAAGTAGCGTAATAATTTCATAAAATAATGTTAAAATATTTTTTAACGTTAGAAAATGTTTTTCTGTTGTGCCTGTATCATTTGGATTGGACAAATCTTGGTATGAATTATTCTGATTTGTTTTTTTAACGTGATGTTTAGAACTTCGCATTTCAGGTGTTAAAGTACATAAAGGTGCATAAAGTACTCCATAGATAAAGGATGGTGATACATTTTGATTTAAAGGGACATTATGGAAGTTTGACAGCCAAAACATGTATAGAAATAATAAATTTCTTCTTCATACATTCTCCTGCAATGCCCTGGTCCTGTAGAATGAGCCCTGGCATTTTTACTGTGATTGCCTGTTTTTCTGTAAAATCACAGAAAAAGAGAGATGCTCGGGTCGAGCAGGCTGCTTCATGCGCGTTCACGCTCAGGCATCGCCCGTAGCATTTGCTATCCGTAGCTTTAGCAGCAGAGAGAGAGGCAGTGCCACTTTGTCGCTGTTCCTAACGCCTAGTGACAAAGCTAGCTACATTTCTGAGGACCCTTAGCTACTTTCTGCAAATTAGCAACAAAATAGCCATTTTCACTCTGAACCGTTCTTTGAACGTTGTTTCAGCTGTCATCAAGGATATAAATGTTACAGATACAAATGATGCCTCAGGTGCTTTAGCTCACCTAAGATGTCGGACTCTCGTGCAGAAGACCTGAGTTTGATTCTGGATGTGAACGTTGTTTATTTAGTTTCTTTTTTACATTAATGATATATTTTTTTTTACAGTAAGATGCCCAAATTTTTATTTGACACTCACCGAACGGCATTGAATTCACAGATAAAAAAGATGTGGGTTCAACTTTCATTTTGGAACAATTTTTCAAGCAAGGGACGGGAATGATCTGAGCATGCAGGAGGACTGACCCATCATAAACCTTTGTCGGCTGTGCTAAAGAGAAAGGTACAGAGCCAAATTATTGAATTAATTAGCTGCACGTTCTCCTGTCCTCCGTCCTACGGGCCACACACACACACACACACACACACACACACACACACACACACACACACACACACACACACACACACACACACACACACACACACACACACACGGGTCTGTCTCAGCTGTTATTTTCGTTAAGGAGTGTGCACGTACAGCATGCGCACTTCGTGCACGAGCCTACAATTGAAGCTGCCGTTACGCATTTGGCCTGAGGGGGCAATCGCGAGCATAAAAATTCAAAACTCCGTAAAGTCCCTTTAATGGCTAAAATTTCTTTGACAGGTTCAAAATGGTGATGACTTTAAAAATAAACTGAAAACTGTACTTTTCAACAGATTGGATTGCATTGGGTAATTATTTGATTTTGTTAATCTATAAAAGTTTTTCAAGTAAATCTTAAACATTTGTTTTGTAGTTACCGTAAAATGTTTTTGAAACATAATTTCCGAGTTGTTAGTGACAAATTAAAATAAATCTGAGTGCAATCATTTGACAAGTATGGATCTGTTATCGTTGCTATAAATCTTGTTGCAATTCAGAAAATTTGGGAACTAATAACGACAAAACAAATTGACCAGAATTACAGGTTTAGACAAAATTCTATTCAACTCCGTTCAAAACTAAAAGAAGACAGTTTTTTAACACCCAGGTTTGTATTTAAAATTTGTTTAAAATCTCAACTCACTAAAACATTTGACATACCTATTCCAGCGATTCACTTTTGGATGATTAAAAAAATCCATTCTTTGCTAATCTACTGACAACAATGGAGATATGAATAATAAACATTATTTTTCTAATGAAAATTTTGTGTTTTTGCGTATTTGTTCATGACGTTGGGTCCGATTTGTAGTTCTACATTTTCCAACAGCAGCTGAAAGCATCTGAGAGAGGTTGTGTTTAGTTCTGCAAAGAGACCAACAAAGAAAAGAGGAGGGAACAAAAGCCTCTCATCTGTTCTGCATTTCCTTTTCCATTTGGCTGCAGCCACTGCATTTGTTTCCAGCAATTTTTCCTTCGAACCATCTTCAGACGAGGAATGTTTGGGAGGAAAACTCCCATCTTAGACTTTGTTGTTCATTTATCTTCCCAAAATTACATTTAGCTTTTTGTAATCTGTGTACGAGCGCTCAGATCCCACAAAGAGAATCAAACCGTTTGTATAAAATAAGAACAACGTTCTTTGTTTACCAGATGTAAACAAAGGACCAACTGACTTTTTCTTTTGACATTTTTAATTTAATTTGTTTTTCTTCCTGTGGAGAGGAAATATTCTCATTCTTTATAGTCTTGTTAACTCAGAAAAGTTAAAAGTTTAAAGCGAGCAGCAATCTGCGATGATTGCTCCACCTGTTGGTTGTTTTAAGTCAGCCAAACGAAGCTTTCTCAGAAACAAACAATCACACCCACAGATGGTGACGATGCTTCATAACAAAATCATCTCAAACACAAGTTTGCTTTTTCCTGTTTTATGTTTTTAAAACAATAACATCAAATATAAATTCTTTCTATTGCACATGAATTTCAGACTTTTTACAAATCAGACTCATAATTACAGAAGAAAAGTACATTTTTACAGGTAAGTTAAGACACTGTGACACCAGGTTGAGTCAGAAACATTAAGGCACCGATGCCGTCTGTGGCATAGGTAAATTATTATTAGATTATCTAAATGAATGGAGTCATTACAACCAGCTCCAAAACCCAAAAGTTCCTTTATTATCATCTGAAAAAACAAAGTAGAAGCAACAGCGTTTAAACGGATAAACAAGCCAGTTTATTGAAACACACTGAGAAAAATCTTAAAGAATTTCAGGATTTTTTCCAAAGTTTGAAACTAAAGAAAAAATGTTTGAATGTCTTCTGTTAAATAATTTCATGAATGTTTAATTTATCTGCTCAAAAACGGTAATAAAACTCATAAATGTTCACCCAGTGATAATTTTGTTCATCAGTCCCCAGAAAACACTTAAAACTTTTGATAATTTGTTCTGTAATCAGATAAATGTCAAAAACTCTGATAAAGTTGATAGTTTGGACTTAATTTTTACAGGAAGTTGGATGTTTGCACCTATGAACGCTGATTTAGGATTCATTTTAACACGAATCCACCTCCAGCCTCATGATATCTGGGTTCTTTAATCTGACCGTTTCAGCTCCACTCCTAAAGTTATGTTCCTCCACCATCAGTTCAGTTTTCACCTCTACAGGAACGTTTTTGTCCTTTACTGGTTTTAAAAGAGCCGTTTGTGTCTGAAGAATAAAGTTTTTTATTTTTTACGGTAAATAAGAACAAACGGTGCATCTGACGAGGATGTTTGGTTGTTTTTCTTGAGTTAGGTTTCACATTTCTAAACCATTTGAATGGTTTTCCAGCTTTTACTCCTGAAACATCAGTCAGAATTGATCCTTTATGGATAAATTACAAAGATAAAGAGAAATTTCTTCACTGTGAAAAATTAGTTGCTACAGAAACTTTGTTGAGCATAATGTAATTAATTATATGAGGTCAAATGAAAAGAAGCAGGTTGATTTGAAATAAATGAGTCATATTTCACCAGATGTGTTTCACGGAGAGCTGTGCTTCTGGTTCTGTCAGAAAACATCTGGACTAGTTGAGACGAGTTCTGCTGGGCTCCGTCGTACGGCGACACGTTAGGGCCGATAAAAAATATATATGCAGAGCTATGGGCAGACGGATGTTCAAATCCCACGTATTTAACAAAAAAACTCCAATGTTCTCGAACGGTGGGAAGTCTAAATCTTGCTGGAAAAACTTTTAATTCCCCCTCACTTTAAAAATCCTCAATACTGTAAATTCATTAATATGAAAAAAAAGGAATATAATAATAAAAACGTTTGTTTGATTCCAGTAAATTTACCATTTTGTACCTTAGAGATCATCCAGATGTTCTTTCAAGTAGTTCTTGCCTTCACTTGGACACTTTTACACTTTAATAATCGCTGTCAGAAGAGTTTATTCTAAGATTTTAATCCCGAAAGATCCACTATTATTGTTGTAATTGTTTCTGAATTAAAACGAGAGAGAAACTGAGTTTTATTCATGTAAATGTTTGCCTTTAATCACAAGCAGCGATAAACTAGCCGATAGCTGTGGTTTTTGGCCGTGCCAGGGCAGTTAGCCGATTACCGAGCAGCCGGATCAATGCTGTTCAATGTTCCATCTTTTAAATCAAAAATAGAATTTATTTTTCAGACAGAAAAATATGTCAAACAAAGAAACATTATAAAAGTCAGTTTGGTAACGGCTGTAAAATAAAACCTGATTGGTCGACGTTTTCCTGTAGAAATTTGGACTTTCTTCCTACAAAATACAGACTTTATAGTATAGTTTGTCCACTTTTTTCTCTTCTAAATAAAACAGTAATCTCAATTTTTTATAAGTTTTCCGAGTTTCACCCCACAGCTCAGATTATGTATTTATTTTTAACCAAACGGGACCTAAAACACTGCCGTAACGTCACTTTTCTGCTGTCAGACACACTGAACCAAACGTATTGCTCTCAGAGAGGGTAAATGTCTGGTTTTTAATCATTACATAGATTCTTTCCTCATAATAAAAATAGATAAAAACACGTATTTATATAAAATGGAACCAGGCGGTTAAGATTTTTGTTCTAAATAAGTCAGAAAGTTACACATCCAACATGAAAAAGCAACAAGCACCAATCAGAGAGCCCCGTTTTAACACACACACACTTTGTAAACACTACACAACCTTCACCACGACCACAGGCACAGGAAAGTGTGTTTGCAAATAAAACAAGTGGCTAAAAGCTAAAAGTGCAACTGGTTCACCTGCAGACATTCTGAAATCAGCTGAAGTGTATACGTGAAATCCTCCCTCACTCGCAGAGGTTTAAATGGTGTGTGTGTGTGCTTTCTGTGGTTTTATACGCAGGTGTGTGTGCCACTCTGAGAAGCGTGAAACGTGATGGCGTAAGGCGACAGCCCCCGCGTGCAGCCACAGCTCACATTTTAGCACCAGAGCAGGAAAACGGTGTTTGTCCTCACCAACTGGAATGGATTTAGTCATTTTCATTCCTTCAAAATAAAACGTGTCAGTTTACTTTTAAGTCAAAGCAAAACCAGCACCAGACTCCTCCCAGTTTGTCTGCAGTTGTCATGACAACACGAGAGGTTTTCTGCTCCTCCTTTGCCTTTGAATCAGCCTGAAGGCTTGCTGAGACTTAAACTGGTTTTAGCCGCTGAGCCGCACTTAAACTCACTTACGATACCTCCTAAACCTCCTTATGTGGTACGATTAACCCTAACCCTACCACATAACTGCCGTAGGCATGCCGTGCTAAACCGTCACTGCTGATGGAGCAACCCTCGGAAGAGTTCGACAGCAGCTCAGGCTGCAGCTCTCAGTCACACGCCAACGAGATACGGCGTGAATTAAGTGGCAGAATTCCAGCTTCGGGGCTAGGTTTGCCTTGTGAGCCGGATTCGCCCGTTGAGAACTAAACATTTGTCTGCTGTAATAAAAAGTCGTGATTTAAACAACTAGTCACTTGGCAAAACCTTAAATTGATCGATTGGTTGAATAACGTCCATAAAATAAAGAAAATAATTAATTTTTTAGTCCACCAAACTTTAAATTTAATGCCTTCATGATGAGATTTACACCAAACTGTTCCCATAAAACGACCTAAAACTCTTAAGAAGTTGAGAAATTAGTCCTAGACAAGAAAACTTGAGAAGATTTTAACCGTTGGGCTGAAGGCTCCATCCGTGGACGGCCAGGACCGTAGAACTTAGAACGTGTGCGATCTGGACCTGGGTCTACAGAAACATGAAGGAACTGGACCATTCACCATCTAATCCCACCTGTCAGAGATTTTACCAACAACGCTCCACAACGTGAAGCTGCGAGAGCCGATCATTCCCTTCTCATTCATCTTCCCAGTTCTCCTCCTGGGAATTTTCTGCTAGGACTCCAGCAAGCTGTGCCAGCGACAGACCTGCTGTCCTTTGGACTCCTTCATCTGGGTCCAGTGGGTCAGCTCCTCCTCCCCAGAGCTGTTCAGGCCGAGGGAAATCCAGCCAATCATCTCCTTACGCTTCATGCTGCGCTTGTTGTAGACGGATAGAATGAGCGTGACATCGGAGAGCTGGAAGAGAGCCACCTGGAAGACAAACGTCTCTTTGTAGGTGGGGTTGGGCTGACCTCGACAGATGGACGTCTTACATTTGGACATTTCGTGGCCCATGGAGTTCAGTAAGGTCAGCTTAACGTACGTATCTGAACGAGAAGAAGGTTCAGAGCATCAGGGGGACAACAGGTCCAAACAAAATATTCAGATTTAAATGCAGTTCCTAGATCGGGCTCTACAGACTAACGGATCCTTTGTGCAAAATCATCACAGAAAATGTTTTTTAAGTTTTCTTCTGAATCAAACGCTGCTGCAGCTGCGTCTCCTCTGCAGCAGGCTGACCCAGTTCCCCCCGATTCATGTTTCACACATCAGGTTCTGACCACAGAGGATGCGGTTTTCCTCCTGATCAAACAGCAGCTGAGCGGGAACAGAGTTACCTACGTGTTGTTGCTATGCAACAGCTATGTGTCTAACCCGATGATGTTAGAGATGAAAACGGATTTTCTCCGTTAGTGACGGAAATGCTCAGAGCTGCAGGAGGAGCCGAGTCACGACCCAAAAACCCGCTGGATTCGAGGCCGGCCTGCAGCAACCGAACCAGAATACAAACCCACCATTTCTAATGGGTCCAGCTGAGATTCACAGCACCGTGCAAAAGTTTCAGGCAGGTCTGAAAACCGCCATAAAGGAATAAATCTTTTATAAATATAGAAAATAGAAACTGAACAAAAATAAGAAGAATCCGATTCGATGAATACCTCAGATTCTCATCGACACACCTGCACAGTCAGAGACGACACGGAGTTTCAGTCAGAAACACCACGATTCTGGTTTCAGAGCCGATTCCGTCGGTCTCAGACCTTCAGAGTCGGATTTCTCTCTGTCTTTGGGAGAGTTAGTCTCCCGTTCTGGAAGTAAAAACTTCCACAGGGAGGATCTGCTAATGCTAGGACAAGTTGGCTTTGGGAGTTCCCAAAGTGGGAAGAGTTGTTTAATGTTGCTTAGCAACGGTGCATTCACAGACCCCCCCACCCCAAAAAAAACCCTCAGTATTTAAGCTTCGTTTATGCTTGACGCGTCCGCGAGGTTCGCACGGCTCCACGCGGCGAAATTGCATCATCTTAACAACCACGCCCCTCCACCGCGCCTCCGCACGGCCCAAAGTTTCCGCAACGCGCACCTAGGAAATTTTCTAACCACGTGGACGGTCGGACGTGGAAAAACATGGCGGACTGGCAAGAACTAGTATGGCAGAGGTTCGTAAATACAGACATTTGTATGATTCAGCTCTCAGAGATCACCGTGATCAACATGTTGTTAATAATTCTTGGAGAGAAATAGCTCGCACTGTCGGAAAAGACGAGGACGCTGTTAAAAATGCTGAAATGCCATGTTTTAAACAGTAATTTCTACTTCTACTATGGTGTAGTGATGGATGCATGCCGTAGAGCTCCATGCTGCCCCCTACAGTTTGGGAGAATATTGGCTCACCGCAGAGACAAGCCGCATGAACCATAAACGCTGCAAGTTGTGAAGCGCGTTCCATCCGCGAGCCGCATCACCAAGCAGAAAGTGAATGTGTCAAGCATGAACCAAGCTTTAAGATGCAGTCCGGCTCACTGGTGAAGCTAATGATGGTTTTCATCTGAAACAGGAGCTTTAAACTTGGGCTACCTGCTACGGGGTCGGGTGTTTCAGGTCAAAGGTCAAACTCAACCGAGACAGAAGCTCGGAGAAGCTAAAGCAAGCCAAAAACATCTCTGATGGCTGGTTTTAGAATAGATGGAGGTTCTAACTGATGCATCAGATGTTTGGGGAACAAACCAAAATCTTCACTTGAGAACCTGATTGAAAACACAATGTGCACCCTAAGACATAAAACATTGTGTTTTCAAGACGAACTGTGCTGATGGATGGAAGTAAGGTGAACCCGTACAATAATAAACTGTGTGAAAAACATCATAATTATAAATAATCTTGATTTTCTCCCATAATGGAGCCAAGCGTCTACACTCGCTGACACAAACTCCACACCTGCCTAGAACTTTTGCACACAAGTAACGCTGGTGCTACGTACTCACAATGATAATGTGTGTGTATGCTTTTAGAAGTACTACACGCAGTACACTAAAAATGCACCAACTTACAGTTTTATTCTGTTTAAGAAAATCTAAACGTTTCAGATAAACAATAAATCACGATGAGTCTGTTTTTTTAAAGCCAGTTAAAACGACGGATTCAGGCGTTTCCTTCTTCGCGGCTCGTTTCCACGCCGAAGCCGTAAATCGAGCTGAGGAAAAGAGGCAATCACAATGCCTCCGAGAGTGTTTCGCCCCTCGTCTGCAAACCAAACGCTGCAATAATGCGGCGTATTATGTTCCCGTCGGAGAGGGGGGTGCACTGAATGAGCCGCGGAGGCTTTCATGCTGTCGAGTGCCAGCTGCTTTCCAACGCCTTGAATCACACATTCAGTTGCTCTCTTTGACATAAAAGCAGAGTGAAAAAAACAGCCTTGATTTCTTTTCTGACGGCGGCTGAATGGGCTCCGTGGAGCCGTGCACGTCTTAAGTGGTCAGTAGCGGGGATGCAGGGCTCTTTGGTATTGTTGCTGAATGAGAGGGGCTGCGGCTGATGATCGACTCCACTCGTCGGCTCGCTACTGTTTTGAAATGACAGAAAAAAAAGAGCTTTGAAAGTGCTCCGCATCTCGCCTTCCCCACTTTCTGAGACGCACAAAGTAAATCAGAACCTTGGCGAGGATTCAGCACAAAGGGTTTCTTCAGCGTTACCAGATGTGACTATTTTCTGGGTACAATTTAAAGACTAAATGCTTTTCACAGATGCACAAACAAATTCTGACAGCTAGCTATTAGCTGAGAATACGTGACGATAAATGAGGACAGTGAGTTTCACAGAAGTCCCTTTTTCTGTTTCGTGTGTTGGAAGCGGTGCTGAAAATGTAAAATCACACCCAGAGCATGCACCGTTGGCCTGAAGCTGGCCGTTAATGACACACAACAGCCCCGTTCATTCATGCATTCAGCACGAAAACGTTCCTGAGAAACAAAAACACACACGGGGAAGGACGGGAACATGCACCATCAACCACACGTGTTCAACACAAGCAAACATCTTCATGGATCAGAGCTTATTGGATTAACGTGTGATTATTACCACCTGCTGTGCCAGGATCAGCAGCGTTTAGGGCTAGATGTCACCAAGACGTGTATGTGATTTAATCACCTGTCATTCTGACGATGAACAGATTTTCTATGAGGCGCTAGATGGGTTTCATTTACACGAAATCTGAATATTTCACACGATATTGAGTTTAAAACAGTTGGGATAAAAGAGTCTAAATGGATTCAGAGTCTGAAGTTTGCCTGATTTGTTCTAGTAATAAAACAACTTTTTGTTTCTTTGATATTTTCTTTGTTTACATTAATTACTCACATGTTCAAAATAAATGTAATTTTATGCTTTTTCTTGTTCAAATATCTGAGAAAAGGCAGATTTTTAAACCAACAAGCCAAAATGAGAGGAGGCCTGAAACAGTTCTGTGTGGGACTCCGGCTTCGGAGATAGGTTTGTAAAGCGTGACATCCATGAAGATGTATAAGGAGGGTCACGGCCAGCGGAGCAGGCAGGAGAGGACTCACCTCTGATTATATAAACCTGTCCACCTATCAAGTGTTTTAGACAACAGAACAGCCCGTCTGACAACAAGGGTTGGACAGCAGTAAGAAAAAAAACGGACCAAGATGTCAAAAAGGTTGTAGGGTGAGAGAATTTCAGGAGGAGACATTACAGATGTGAGGAAAGAGAAACAGGGTCAGAAAGCCAAAAACGGCAATGCACAAAGTTCAACAAGAGGAGGTTTTTCTTTTTGTTTGAACTTGCTGCTCAGATCTCCAGGACCAGGACCAGGAAACGGAGCAGAACCAGGGGGTGAAGTTAGGGGTGGGGTGAAGCTGAGAGAGTTGGACTATCTCCTACTGGGAAAAGTAAAAAGCTTGGGATCGCCTCCCTCTCTCTCCGATATTGTAATAAACCCAACGATTTATCACCTTTACTGATCAAACACAAACTCCTCCAACCACTAGAAACTTTATTCGTCCTTTACTCAACAGAACGCTTTAGGAAACTTACTGGGTGGCTTGTTGGCAGCCAGGTTTTTGAAGTGGATGCCCTTGATGACCTCCACAGAGAGGCGTCCGGTCGTGGCGTTGTAGATCAGGCCGACGAGGATCTCCGGGGTGGTGGTCTGACTGACGGACTGGAACGACGAGGCGCTTTCGCTGCAAGTCATATCCGAGAGGCTGACCTGGGATTCGCTGCCCTGGAAATGTTAGCAGACACTCACCGTCAGTGTGAACGACTCATCACCACAGACGTTTGCCACCTTTGTTCAGAGAGAACACGTTATTTAATGATTTAAGCTTCAAGAGAAAAACTCAGCTTCAGTCCCTTCACTTTCAAACAGGACTGAAGGTTACGCTCTATTATTTGGTTCAACAGTGGCACCAACTCTAAACGGGTTTCAGGGACTTCATATAAAACAAATCTTTAATCTTGTTCTTTTGCTACAAAATCAAACAGATGTAGGTTTACAGACCCAGGCGGCAAACACGCTCAGGCTGTTTCCTCTGCAGGATTCAAACGGGGATTCGTTTTATGTAAAATAAAAACTTAAAAAGCTGTGAAGATGTTTTGTTCTCTGAAGAGCAAACCCTGAGGCTGTGGATGAGACTCGGTCTGATGAGAGCAGACCAGAAGGGCGGTTGGTGAGGGGTCAGGGTCTCACCGGCAGCGCGCAGCAGGGCTCTAATATGACCGGAACAGACATTTTGCCCTGAAGGTTGAGCTTGGTGAGGTAGAACACCTTCTCTCCAAACACCTTCTCCTTCTTCATCCGTCTCAAACTGTAAAGCCGGAAGCGGACGGCGTAGTTGCTGATCATCTCTGACTCCACGTGACAAAAACGGAAGGTTTCCGTGAAGATGGGGCACGGGCCCCGCTGGACGCCAGTCTTCGCTCTCTGCTCTTTGGTTGGCAGAAGCAGCAGGTGGACCTGCCAGGAGATGTTCCCCGTGCGTTTGACGGAGGGTAGGTCGGTCACTGCCATGATGGTCAAAGTCAGCTGCTGCTCCTCAGAGTCAAAGTCAAACACCACGTCCAGGGTGCCGTATTTAGCGATGGGATCTGGTTCGTAACCTTTAGAGAGCCGCGCAGCTGACCCGCGGGCCGACATCTCCTGCAGACACCAGAGAAAACCTCAGAGCGCGACAAAAATTTCACAGTGAGCATCTGGTTGAGTTTCTCACCACCGGGGATTACCTCTGGACTGAGGACAGCCGTGCTGTCGCTGGGAACGTCCTCCTCGTAGCCTTTGTTCAAGTAGCTCTCGGTCTCCTGGCCATCGCTGCCTTCGCTCAGGCACTTCCCAAAGGAGAGGAGAGGACTGCCGCTGGTCTGGGAAAGGTCGCACTTGGCATCACCCAGGTCTGACAGAGTACAGGACATCCTCGGAGAGCCATTCTCATCCTGATAGGGAGGAGGCTGCAGTTCGTCCAGCGGCGGCGTTCTTCTCATCCTCTGGATGCAGTTGGCTGTTTGGAGGGAAATCAGAGTGTTACTGAACCCAGAGCTGTCCGACATTCTGAAGTGGGCTAAACGAGCTCAAAAAGCAACCCATCCTGCCCCGTTCCAAAAGGACCGAGTAACAAAAGAACCCGGAGCAACGTCTAAAGTCCTGCAGACTCTCCTCCATCTGTCATCTCTGCAAATGTAGGAATCTAACTAAAACCAAACTAAACCCTGACTCAAGTCTCACCTTTAGAAATGTTTGAGCATCAGGACGGATGTTCCTGTTCCACCTTTAAAGGAAAATGTTGCCGGCTGCATTCTGAAATCCCTCCTTGTAAAATTTTAATTCTCAAAAACTGAGCGGCGGATGAAAATACTCCCCCCGGGGACCCGGGCGAGGAACACTTTAAACCCGGCCTCAACAAAGAAAACAAAAGATGAAGCGGAGCTGGAGAGGCAGAGAAGAACCTAACTTTGGGAAAAGAAAGTCAACACTGCGATGACGTAATTTCCTCCGGCACATTGTTCCACCTTTCTTCCAACTTCTTGAAACTTTTACTCTTAATAATGTAAGCGAGGCTCCAGCTCAAAGTGGCACACATCAGCGGCAGGATGGAGGCAGAGGAGTCATAACTAAGTGTCATGGAGGGTTTGATAAAAGGAGCAGATCCATTTTGAGCTCTTTCCCCGCTGAGCCGGGGGCGGTTGATTTGATGGAAGCTGCCGTATAAAAGCGCTGCTCTTTTCTCCAGCCTTCTAATTGGGATGGTTACCATCCCTCCTCACGTCTAACCCAGCCTCGCGTCGGTTTCATCCCCTCTGCTGGCTTGTTGTGCCTTCTGAAACTGGAATAACAGCTTTTTGTTGTCTGTGAACCGGCATAAATATCACACACACACACACACACACACACACACACACACACACACACACACACACACACACACACACACACACACACACACACACACACACACACACACACACACACACTTGAATCACTTAATCTGACATGTTTAGAGGATAAAAACCTCCATGATCAACAAACACTGAAATATGTTGTTGGTGATTGTTAAGGAGAAATTAAATTTTTTGTTTTTATCCCAGTTTAATCAGGAAGTTGACCAAACAGGCTGTTTAGTCAAAAGAAGGAATAATTTAATCACCACCGGAACGTACAATCCTGAAAAAAACTCATCCAATCACTGCGACTGTCCTGTTTTTAACAGTGTTGGGCAAGTTACTTCAAAACTGTAATGCATTATTTATTACTTGTTACCCTCATTTTAAAGTAATTCATTACATTACAATATTACTGATTTTAAAATGTAAGGCATTACACTACTTTTGCATTACTTTAAGTTACTTTCACCAAAACAACTTCAGTATGAATCTGGTCATGTGACGCTCAGTGAGCTCATGACATATATGTGGAAGGTGATGTGGTGTCTGAGCTAGGATTGCTGTTAGAAACAGTCAGATATAATAACAGTGCTTTAAAATGATTGTTTATTAAATAAAAGCAACAACAATCTGTACTCTCAGCACGCTGCCATCTTATAGGGCCATCTGAGCAGGGAGTGGGGTGGTGGGGGCCCCAAGCCTATATTTGCCTTGGTCCCCAAATGCCTTGATACGGCCCTGGATGTGGGACTGACTTCTGGGGTGATCTGATTCTATCACATGTATAAATATTAAATGCTTATATATTATTGCTTTTCACTGGTAAAAATGTGTATTGGGGATAAATCTACCTACTTTTTTCTTTTCAAGCACTTTGTTTTGTTTTCTTGATTTCATTTGAATAATTTCCTGCCCTTTCTCTCTCTAACCGTCCTGCATGCTGCATGTTTTCTCCGTTTTCCAGAAAAACTGTTTCCTAGATTTCCTACTTTCTAACTAATCAGCCAAAGGGATCTACCGAATGCAAAAATAAAAATAAAAAAGCTTTAACTGCGCTGCAGCAGCAATGAGTTGAAATCACCGGGGCACAGATTATGAACTCAGCTGAAAAGTACATGAAGTACCAGAGAATATGGGCTGAAATAAACGATCGCAAACAGATGACTTTGTTTTGGTGGAGCGATTTTGTGAATATAACAGCGGCCGCGCGCAGGACGCAGCTGGAGTGTTTGAGCCATTACCGCTGCGTCCTCTCTGCTCATAGAATGCCCGCAAAGCTGAGTCCATAAATGATGTCATATATGTGGATACTGGATCTGTTTTCAGGCTTCCTGCAGTTTGAATTTTTAGGAAACCCACATCTTGATTCTGGGTTTAAAAATGCATTGTAATCACCGCGTTACTGACAATTGTACTGAGTAAATATTACCATTTTCTTTCCCTGTAATGCCTTACATTACCACATTACAGCAAAAAGCTATGCATTACAGTAATTAATTACTTTTGTACCGCGTTACTCCCAACACTGGTTCTTAATGACTGGCTCCTGATCCATCCATCAAACTGCCCTCTGACCGCCCCTCCCCCATCTGTACATAGCCCTCTTTGTGCACGAATCACGAGTTCAGTTTGGAGCAGCTGAACAGGAAGTGAAGTCAGATCCGGGCTGCCTGTCGTCACAGGAAGAACGTTCTGCTTTTTTAATTTTTTTTTATACAAATCTCATTTAACGACTTGTTTGGCAAGTTCTGTTTGGAGTTTGGTTCCGTTTTTGGTTATGTGAAGAGCCTGTTGTCCATAAACGCAGCCTGTCCTCTGTCGGCTGGTTGAGCTGGTTGCCTTGGCAAAGGATGCAGAGTCTGCAGAGGCTCGGGTCACGCTCGACTCGAGGGTGCTTTGATCGGTTTGTGGCATTTTCCTGGATTACTGTCTGCCTGATGTTTTATTACTGAAACACCACGCTGTATTAGCTAGCATGCTAACTTGTTAGCTATGTGGGAGCATTATATTAGCACAAAAGGTGCCAAAAACGGGTTAAAAACATAAAACTGAACTCTTGGGAACAAGAAGTGCTCGTTCCTGCAATTGAAGGGGTGTGGGTGTGTGTGTGTGTGGGGGGGGGGGGGGGGGGGGGACCTTTGAAAAACTATTACATCAGGTTCAGAGTGATAGTTGTTAGTTCAACCCTTTAACTCTGACCATTCCTGCTGATTTTTAAATAGTAATATAATAATAATAAGACTTAGGTAATAATGTGTTTTATCAGCCGCCTCCATCATTTAGAGACTTATTGGTTTCAGGGACTAAAACCTGCAGGTACGGTAGATAAAGCGCTAGCTCGGTAACATCAGGAACATCCCTCTGAGAAGTTTTAGATCATTTCTAATTCCTGCGCGTGTTGTTTTATTAGATTTGACTTTCAGCACCTCAGAGGCGCTCGATCTCACGCTCACCATGTGAGAAACGAAACGTGCGACTGGGTGAGGGATGTGTTTAACGGAATCCAACTGTTAATAAAAGTGTTGCAGACGAGATCGGGGGATGGATTCAATATGGTTTCTATGGAAACCTTAAATTCTGAGAACAAAAAGTCTTAACAACAAATAACGTTTAAAGGTTGAAACTGAACTTACATCAAGAGTTTAATTGTACAAACAAACTGTTTCGGGTTTACTCCTGCAGGCGTCCGAGCGGAAAACCGTTAAAACCAAACGGATAAATAAAAGTGGAGGTCTGCAGCAGCGCGGCCCCCTGCTGCTCTCTGACTCCAGCTTCCTCCACTGGTCACAGCGAGTCGCCGACAGCAGAAGGCGTCCGGACGAGCCTCAGATCTTCTGATTGGTTCTGCTCTTTGTGTTCGGTTGTGCTGAGCGGAGCGGCTCCGGCACAGTTTTCCTCATGTATAAAACATTTGTCCTGGGGATAAAGCTCTTCAGACTCCAGCAGACACAAGCAGCTAGCTGAGGGAATCTATCACTAACACCTCGGAGCTTTCAGCCCGTCTGCTGGAAGTTAATGAAATGATCATCCTTCAGCTGTGGTGGAGAGTCATGAACCGATCCGTCTCGGGTTCTGAAATTGTTCCTCTCTTTTGATAGAACGTGTTTTAATGGCGATGCTGGCATGAGGGCGCTGACCGCAACGGCTCACCGGCACAGAAACCCACAGCCATCAAACCACAGGAAAGAAAATAATGAAGCTCCAGAAGTTTCCACTTCTCCTCCAGACCGGATCGTTGTTTCCTAAGTGATGGAAAATCATTGTGTGACTTAAAGACACCAGAAACGCTGCAGCCTCTGAAATCCTTCATTAGAAAAAGTTAAATAAAAGGCTTCAGCTTTCCAGCTGAATCCCCTCCAGAGGGTGTTTTAAACTGTGATGGATCAGGAGAACGTCAGGAGAACCCAGCAGAACCAATCAGACGGCACGAAGCAGAGATGATAGAAACCAACCCACTAAAATTAAATCAACCATTTCTAAACTTTCATTTATTACAATAAATGTTTATTTGTTTTAGGCGTCAGATTCTAACAGCTTTTCTCAATGGTGGTTTCCATGGTGACCCTAATGAGCCACTGGCAGCAGCTTTAACATTTTAGTCTCAGATTTTTACAAGCGTGATGTTTTCTTTCTTTCAGTAGCTGCACCAGCTCTGTTGGTTTTTTCTTCAGAAGTCTGATTGTAATTACTCTGCACCTGTGTTCACCTTACTCCACACCTGTGTTCACCTTACTCCACACCTGTGTTCACCTTACTCCACACATGTTCACCTTACTCCGCACCTGTGTTCACCTTACTCCACACGTGTTCACCTTACTCCACACGTGTTCACCTTACTCCGCACCTGTGTTCACCTTACTCCACACCTGTGTTCACCTTACTCCACACCTGTGTTCACCTTACTCCACACCTGTGTTCACCTTACTCCACACCTGTGTTCACCTTACTCCACACCTGTGTTCACCTTACTGCACACCTGTGTTCACCTTACTCCACACGTGTTCACCTTACTCCACACCTGTGTTCACCTTACTCCACACCTGTGTTCACCGTACTCCACACCTGTGTTCACCTTACTCCACACCTGTGTTCACCTTACTCCACACCTGTGTTCACCTTACTCCACACCTGTGTTCACCTTACTCCACACCTGTGTTCACCTTACTCCACACCTGTGTTCACCTAACTCCACACCTGTGTTCACCTTACTTCGTACCTGTGTTCACCTTACTTCGTACCTGTGTTCACCTTACTTCGTACCTGTGTTCACCTTACTCCGTACCTGTGTTCACCTTACTCCGTACCTGTGTTCACCTTACTCCACACCTGTGTTCACCTTACTCCGTACCTGTGTTCACCTTACTCCGTACCTGTGTTCACCTTACTCCGTACCTGTGTTCACCTTACTCCGTACCTGTGTTCACCTTACTCCGTACCTGTGTTCACCTTACTCCGCACCTGTGTTCACCTTACTCCGCACCTGTGTTCAACTTACTCCGCACCTGTGTTCAACTTACTCCGCACCTGTGTTCAACTTACTCCGCACCTGTGTTCAACTTACTCCGCACCTGTGTTCAACTTACTCCGCACCTGTGTTCAACTTACTCCGCACCTGTGTTCAACTTACTCCGCACCTGTGTTCAACTTACTCCGCACCTGTGTTCAACTTACTCCGCACCTGTGTTCAACTTACTCCGCACCTGTGTTCAACTTACTCCGCACCTGTGTTCAACTTACTCCGCACCTGTGTTCAACTTACTCCGTACCTGTGTTCACCTTACTCCGTACCTGTGTTCAACTTACTCCGCACCTGTGTTCACCTTACTCCGCACCTGTGTTCACCTTACTCCGCACCTGTGTTCACCTTACTCCGCACCTGTGTTCACCTTACTCCGCACCTGTGTTCACCTTACTCCGCACCTGTGTTCACCTTACTCCGCACCTGTGTTCACCTTACTCCGCACCTGTGTTCACCTTACTCCGCACCTGTGTTCACCTTACTCCGCACCTGTGTTCACCTTACTCTGCACCTGTGTTCACCTTACTCCGCACCTGTGTAGGGTTGTCACGGTGTGAAAATTTAACCTCACGGTTATTGTGACCAAAATATTCACGGTTTTCGGTATTATCGTGGTATTTTTTTAAACGCGTTACATTTTCAGACAACTAAATAAACCCTGTATATCAGGAAAATATTGTCCTCAGTTTGTGTCTAAATTTTGCCTACAATGTGTTATGTTGTAATTATGTTGTTTATTTGTTTACATATTTCCCCTTTAGTCTTTAAAATACCAATATTTGCCCATAACTTCTTATTTTTTGTCTGTTTGATGTCATCATTTTAAAAATATTAGATCAGATGATACTCAGTACTCAAGTAGCCTTCTTATCAGATACTATTTTACCCTTACTTGAGTAATAAACCCTATATCAGGAAAATATTGTCCTCGGGTTGTGTCCTTCCAGTGAGCTTTGCAGATGTGGGAAAATGTCATCAGGCAGTAATCATTGTTAAATTCATAATTATTCTCGGAGAGAGACCAACTCTTATCTGCCCCTGGGAGCCCCGTAATGCATAGCGTCATTTCAACATGGTGGTGTCCGCGACACGGTTTATATGCAGGTAGCGGCGCTGCGGCTGCTTTATATAGCGACTCGTTGCATTCTCCCTCAACCCAAATCCTCGGATCACGCATTTTAGCTAAAACGCTAACGTTAGCTTGCCTTGCAGAGTTGTGGGTGATGGTCACGCAGATGTGTCATGAGATTTGAAGCGTTGCTGCCTTTCACAGACACTTTTTCTGCACGTGCTGCAAACAGGATAGCGTCTTCTATCAATTGTCCCTCGGCATTCTTCAAATATCTAAAATATGCCCGTACTTCCCACTTTGTCTTCTTTGAGGGATAAAAAATGTCCCGAGTGCTGCCGTCTCCTCCTTTGGCCATTATTTCAGCTTTAGCTTCAAGAAAGTTTTGGTTGTAAACAACAAAGTGCGCATGTGCCGCCGGCAACTTCAGCAGATGATACGGTGGCTGGTAAGGGTCACCGCGCCTACACCACAGCCACGGTAATCCACCAAGATAATATAGTTTTTTAAAAACAAGACGGCTATTATTATTGTCAACTCTTTTACCGGGGTTTACCGCTACACCGGTTACCGTGACAACCTTACACGTGTTCACTTGGCCAGGACACTCAGCTGATGATGTTAGAGGAATAAGGAATGCTCTGGTCTCCTCCAGGGACAGACGATCTAAAGAGGCCAGTGCTGCTCATCTCCCTGGACCTGAATTAACCAAAATAAACCTAATGAAAGGTTGGCGAGAACAGCGGGGTGCTGAGGAGTCTGGGAGCCGACGTCTGAGGATGAAAAAGGAGCTGCAGCTGTGAAGATTATGCAGACAGTTGACTGTTCTCAACCCTCCCACGGAGTGTGTTGAGCGGGAGCTTCGCTTTGATCACCTCTCTGGAATAACTGACAGCTTGCATGGCTTTGTGTTTGTGGGTGCAGAGAAATCTGGGCCTTTTCTCCCCTCGGGTGGAGAGATGAGGAAGAATCAGGTCTTATCATCTGTTACATCTGTGGAGGACCTACCGTCGTCGGCTGAGGCCTCACTGCTGTAGCCGTCATACTCAGCAGTCAGGGGGCTGTACTTCTGTCGGCTCTCCCAGCTGAAACCTCCTAGTCTGGAGTGACAGGCTCCTCCACGGAGGCCTTGGGAGCGACTGACTGCCTCCTGGTACTGACCCATCAGCTCATCCTCACTGTCCGATGAGTCCTGCAGGTCGGCCTCGGAGGCCTTATCTGTAGGAGGAGAGGATGAGTGACATCGGGTGGACAGATGCAGGAGCTGCAACTGCGGAGTCAAAAGAATCTGAACCGAACTCCTAGAACTTCTTATCAGTGAAGGTTTAAACTCATGATGGCTGAAGAGTAGTAAAAGTTACTGTGCTAAAACCAGAGAAGGTCTTAACGTACGCCCATTACTGCTGCTGGTAGTAACGGTTATTACCAGGATATTATTTAGTTTCTAATAAACTAGAGCACATGATTCCAGGACTAAAGACTCCTGAATGGAAAGGTTTAAAGAGTTCAGGAACCAAACCGGTTCTGGATATTGGGACCACTAGCAGAAACACCCGAAACCCGTTAACCACCTAACTGATCAAATAAATGAATATTTGAATAATGATCTGATATTCGGTTAAAGTCTTCATCTAATTGTTTTTATACATTTTTAAATACCTCATATATTATTTGTATTTGTTTTATTTTACATGTTTGAACATTAGTGAAATCTGACCTGCAGCTGCAGATTCTGTCCAGCAGGGGGCAGCAGAGCTGTAAAAGTAACACGTTTGCGCCTCAAACTCTATTTAAATTCATTTTAATACTTAATTATTTAATTTGTAATAATGGATCATGCAAGGACAAATATTAAGCATCTTAAACATTTTCCCTGGCCGTCACTTAAAAAGCTCTCCTAACTAAACGGCAGCTCTATAAACTTCAGAGGATAAAAACTGAATTCTGAAAATAAATAACAGGGAATTTTCATCTGAAGGGAAAGCAAACACCAGTCTTGTTTTTTATGATCCCAGAATGAAGTCTAAATGAATGTATTTTTCTTTCTTTTTCTTTTTTTTTCAGAGACGAAAAGCAGAATAAACCAGGTGTGTCCCATGATGACCGAGCCTTTTTCCTGTTACGGTTAAAACTAGCAGAGCCTTTTCTGCGGCTCACCTTGCAGCTCTGTGTTTTTCCTGAAGTCATCAAGGCACTGAAGGCTCCGCGGGTTCTGCAGGCCCAACTTGTTGTTGACGTACCAGAAGAGCAGAGTCATGAGGATGATGAAGAGCCCGATGGCGGTCAGAAAACCCAGAACCTCTGGAGAAACTGGGACACAGAAAGTCAAGTGAAGGTTTAAAAAAATAAAAACAACCCTGAACCTGGTTTTCCAACACTAATGTTGTTTTACCACCTAAAGACAGGAAAGCATCTTCAGATGGTTTCTAAGCTTCAGCCTACACCCAGAGGCTAAGCTAACACCTTTAGCTAACTCTAACCCAAAGGGACATAAGAACCTGAGGATGTGAGATTACCACGGTAACGGTTTCAGGTGCACAACTGTTTCAAATTCTGCACACACTTGAGTCAGATCCCATTAAATGCAACAGCAGCAGACTCTTTTGGGTGTGGTGTCATTAAAGACGCAGCAGAGCACGTTCCACCAGCCGGAACCACGCATGACCTTCAGCAACACGTGTGACCTCATCTTCATCAGGCATCTGTTCTCAGCACCAAACGGACCCGATCGGACCCCAGAATCTGTTTTTAACGCCAGAAACTGTGATTCAGGGGTTAAAACTCAATCAGAGTGAAAGTCACGTGGGTTAAAGGCCAGACGACATCACACCTAAACGTCTTCACGATTTGTTTTACTAAATATTCCTCATCTCTTCATGCTGAACTGTAAAGCTGCTGGTTTAGGATGACTCGTAATCAGTGTTGGGAAAGTTACTTTTAAAAAGTAATTAGTTATAGTTACTAACTTTGTGAAAAAAGTAACTCGGTTACTGAGTTACAAGATTATAAAAGTAACTAATTACCAAGAAAAATAACTACTTAGTTACTTTTTTCATTAAAGAATGCAAGAAAAATGGGTTAATTGAATTTACTTATTTTACTATAATTACTACAATAGTGAAATATAAATGACTAATGACTGGAACATAATAAAATGTGTGTCCAAATGTTTTTATATAAACCTGAATAATTTAAATAAATAAGCACTTAACAGGAGGAACTACTAACAGGAACATTACACTAATCTAGACTATTAAAAGGTCACTGTGTGATATTTAACAAGACCCCAATCAGCTACATTTTAAAATTGCAAATAGAAACACCTGTAAAGGTTCCTGAGCCTTTAAATGGTCTCTCAGTCTAGTTAAATTACAGAAATGAATGTAATTTAGCACAGCATTTTAATTTTTCCAGCTTCACATAATTGTGTGTTTTAGCAGCATTTCTGTTGCTGATAATCTAGTAACGGTTAAATAAATAAATAAAATCCTTTAAAATGACACTAGAAGAGGCACAAGCCTGATGGAGGACTTACATTTACCAACTTGGGTCAGACCCAACCACAGAAGAGTTGAAGCTGGGTGGTAAACACACACAGGTATTCTAATAACACCTGAGCACCATGCCGTCTGAGACTGATGCATCAGTGTTACAGCGGGACTAAAGACATGATCAGAATCAGGTTACAGCTGGATGATCTAGGAAGGTAGAAGATCAGGACGTCTGAGCGGTGAACAGGTGAGCGGACCTTCAGGACGTCCCGCTAAGAAGGTCACGGCTGCAGATCTGCACCTGCAGCCATAGACTATTCATCACGTCTTCCTCGTTCTTCGCGGCCGTGATGCGCTTGGATGAAAACATCTGCCTCTTTAGCTCCTGATCAGCTGATGACAGCTTCAACACACCGCGCTGCTTAACGAACGCTTTTTCTTATCAGTAACAGAAACGACGTTTTGATAAAAGAAGACAGTATTTAATTAGTTTGCTCGTTACTGAAATATATTTTTTTAGTAACGCGGTTATTTTAAACAGCGTTATTCTCATCACTGCTCTGTTGTGTCTACAGCAGGCAGCGACTGAGACCGTGTGGGTCTCCGCCCACCCGACCAATCATCATGGTGTTTGTAAGTGCGTTACCGACACCTCTCTCTCCCTGGCTGCAGCTGAAGTGTGGCGGTCAGAAAGCCTCACACTGCTGCTCAACGTTCGACAAGCACATAGTAACGCACCACCTTCCGTCCCCAGTAACGGTAACGGCGCTGCAACAGTGGGAAAAGTAATTAATTAGATTATTCCGTTACCCAAAAAAAGAACAACGTTATTTTAAATAGCGTTATTCCCAGCACTGCTCATAATTATCCAACAGGATTTCCCACTCAGCTGGAAACAGACTTCCTGTTTCAGGTCGGCTGCCGAAACCAAGTTATGTCTGCAGGGGGCAGAGCTGAGCTGCTTAGTTGTGGTTAAAACAAAAAATTATGAGATTAAATTACTAGAATTAAACAGATTAGCTTCAGGCCGTTTGGGTGAGAAGTAAATAACTTTAGTTTTAAACACAGAGAGACGCTAATTAAATACGCTAATAAATGAAACTTCTGCCTGGTTGATCTGCTAGAAAAGCAGAGAAGTTTCTACGGAAGCCTGAAGGTTTCCTCCTCTTCAGGGATTTGAACATTAAGTAGGAATTTAAGTGAAGAACAGCGATTTTAACACAAAGCGGTGATTCAGACTCACCCATTCACACCTACAGAAGCGAAAATCACATATTAAATGTTAATATTTGTTAACATTTGCATTGTTGTTTCAGGGAGAATGTTCCTGTCGCCTCCTAATGTGGAAGCAGGAGGTGTAATCCTACAGGGAGTCTGTTTGCAGCGCAGACGGAGCAGCAGGAATTCTGTTCTGGGAAGAAAAGGATTAAGCGTTGTTCACCAGATCCGTTTGTTTCTGCATGATTAAAACGACAAAAGCTTCTTTAGGAGACGAGAGCTGTGTGGTCTCGCCTCCATGTTGGACTTTTATTAAAGCGCCGGTAATAACCTTTAGAGACGGAGCGTGGGTCCGACGGATGAGTCACCGGAAGACTCCCCTCACTCCGACTTCGTTACATAAGAACAAAGAACTAAAGCCCTTTTTATTAAGTCTGATCCGATTTTAGTCATTAACAAAACAGACTTTGTTTTATTCTTTATTAATGTCACATCAAACAGATAAAACGCAGCTTATTATAAATAAAATGTTTGCATCTTGTATTTATTTTAAACTTGCTCCTGATGATGAAGGCGAGGGTAAAGTAGCACCGACGGTTCTGGTCTTCAGAGGCAGAACTCCTTCAGAACCAGATGACAGAATCATGTTTGTTTACATGAAAACCGCAAAAAATATTGTTTAATGTTTGTAAGTAAATAAACAGTCAAAGGTCAGAGGTCACTGCTGCTGTTTTCTCTTCACACAGACCACGGTAATAACATTACTGGGTTCCCACAAACTCAGATCTCAGGGTTTCTGAAGCTCGAGTCCAAAGACTTATAACAATCTGATTCTAGTTCATCTAAAAAATCTGGTCTGGTCTGATCTGGGGTTGAAACCGGCCCTGACAGATCTCCAGTGCTTCTGTACACACTGATGTTCTGAGCTGAGCCAACATGTTGCTGTAAACAGGAAGCAGGCTGAAGATAAGCAGATGGATTGTTTAGAGTTAGAACGATGACGCCAAGGTCGTCGGCTCGTCTCGCAGGACTGGAAACCTCTCAGAGGAGATTCTGATCCCTGAAAACTACATCGGACCGCTGGCTTCATATTCATCAGCCGAGGAAAACTAAAGTAACTAAGTCCTGCAACAGCGTCTGCTCCGACACACTTGTGTCCATTTTTAGTTCGTTCTGCATGGAAACGGTTGCTAACGGTTGATCAATGTCAAAAAGCTCCAAAGAACCACAAAGCAGCCCACACACTCAACAGACAGAACTCTCAGCGCACCCACACACACTCCCACACACACTCACACCATGCTCCGACACACAACCACTGTGTGTCCACAAATCTGTGCTCTCACATGCACACGCACGCACACATACACACACACACCGGTTAGTTTGTTTGTTTAAATGTGAGCGTGCTGAAAGTCTAAGGACAGGAATCTTAGTTTGTTCATGGTGCAGCTGCAGAACCGGAACCAGAACCAGAACCATACTGGATGAAAACACACCACGTCTACGCTCAGGGGGCGGTTAACCAACTATAACAACTATAAGATGTGGACATTAGAGACAACTGTAATGAATCTGAAATCTCACATGGAAAAGTGTGCACGTGCACACGATCCGCTGCTGTTTCTCACCAGCATCAGCTGATGGAGGGCCCTACTTTTGTTTCACTGCCGTGCGCCATTCGTGTCAGCGGACACGGTAGGATCAGGGACAGCGGGGCGGGGCATGACGCTTAGCCTGGCGGGTGACCAAGCAAAGCCTGGCGGGCCGCCAGGCTTCTGAAGCACTGGGGGAAACCCTGGAGCTACGTGTCCACACGAAGGAGCTGTCAATAATAGAGAATACGCCCCAGTTCCCAGCATGCACTGCAGGGTGATGCAGTAGCCTCAGTCAGCTTTAGTATGCTAACTTAGCTTAATTGCTAACTTCCGTTTCCCGGGGGGGGGGGGGGGGGGGGGGGGGGGGGTTATCTTTTGTGTTTTATGTTTATGTATTTAGCAGACGCTTTTGTCCAAAGCGACTTAAAAGTGATAATCGGCATGTTGCCCTTGAGGCTAACAACAACAACAACAACAACTTGACATCAGTCATGGAGAGGAGGGAACAAGGAGTGGACAGTAGAGAGGGGGGACGGGTGCAGGGAGGGTGCTAGTTTAGAAGATGCTCTCTGAAGAGCAGGGTCTTCAGGAGTTTCTTGAAAATTGAAAAGGAAGCAGCTGTTCTGGTAGTACTTGGAAGGTCATTCCACATTTGTGGAACAATGCATGAGCAGAGTTTGGATTGTCCTGAGCGTGGTGTAGGCACTGCTAGCCGACGATCCTGTGATGACCGGAGTGGCCGAGACGTAAACCTTTGCAAGAAGATTCAGGTAGATGGGAGCCGTACCATCTCGGACTTTGTATGCTAGTGTTAGCAGTTTGAACTGGGTGGCATGTTGTGTAAGGTATGGTCTGATCTTTCGTATGTTATACAGCGCAAAGCGGCATGAACGAGCAACTGAGGCAACATGATTTTAAAGGTCAGGTGTTCATCAATCGCAACACCCAGATTTGAAGGAGCCAGAGATAGGAAGTCATTTTGGATTGAGATATTGTGCTGTATGGATGGTTTTGCTGGGATGACAAGTAGATCAGTTTTAGAGACGTTGAGTTGGAGATGGTGGGATTTCATCCATTTTGATATGTCAGAGAGACAGTTTGATATTCGTGCAGAAACAGTGTGGTCGTCCGGTGGAAATGACAGATAAAGCTGGGTGTCGTCTGCATAGCAGTGGTAGGAGAAGCCATGTGATCGAATGATCTCACCCAGTGAGGTGGTGTATATGGCATAGAGAAGAGGTCCTAGTACAGAGCCCTGGGGGATTCCTTTGGCAAGATAGTGCACGGTAGAGGATTGTCCAAGCCAAGATACACTGAATGATCGTCCTGTGAGGTACAATTCAAACCAGGTGTGTGCTTTCTCTGTGATGCCCATGCTAGAGAGTGTGGACAAAAGGAAGCCATGGTTGACAGTGTCTAATGCAGCCGATAAGTCGAGCAGGATAAGCACTGAGGATTTGGCAGTCGCTCTAGCTTCTTTTAAGGATTCAGTCACTGCTAACAGAGCAGTTTCGGTGCAGTGGCCCTTTTTGAACCTTGATTGGTAAGGGTCAAGCAGACAGTTTGACCATTGTTGTTGGAGCAACCATTGTTTTAGCCTGTTAAAATAATAAATAATAATAATAATAACATTATTATTATGCAACAAAAACAACAACAACAACAATAATAATAATAATAAATACTAGTATTGTTACCCTTCTGATATTTTTCATGTTGTTTCAATTCAATTTTAATATTTTTCCATAAAATTTTTCTAAACATTAGAATTTTAATAATTTTCCCAAGATTTTGATTTTTTTCTCTTCATAATAAATTTGTTTTTTAAACATTTAAACTTTTTTCTTAACACGTTTACTTCCTTCTGCAAGTTTCTATCTTGTATCTGGGAAACCAAAGGGGGAGGAGCCACCAGCATTCAGCTGGTTGTCACCTGGAACATCACCACTGAAGTTCACTGATGAATATAAAAATAACCCCAGGCTCCAGTGTTAAAACAAAAGCACATTTAACGGTGATAACGGTGGCACGGTGTAGGGGGCGGGGCTCTGATCTGCCCTACCTTTTCTGACGCAGATCAGCTCATGAACTCCACAGTGACGATCGCCACCTGCAAAGACAACGCAGGTTTAATGAGCCACGGTGTGACGGAGGGAGGAGACAGACGTGAAAACAGCTCAAACACATTTAAATAGGTTCAGACGCACGGAGACGAGGGACGACAGTCAGGAGGACAGGGACGGGGTGGGGACAGTCAGTCCCAACAGAACATCAGTGAGTTTATCAGAAAGAAAAACTACCAAACAGACAATAAACAAAAGTTTAATTATGACTCAAATTAATAAATGAGGATATGAAGCTATTGATCACTAATATAAGTTTTTAATCGCTATTTTAAAGGAAATCTTTACTTGGTCTAATAAAAAAAATCACCAAAATAGAAATAAAACCCTGAACTCATGCTTACTCCAGTGTCCATCTGTGTTTGGGTTACTAACAGATAAAACAGCTTTCTAAGGCAGACTTCACCCTGAGATCCTCCTGGTCTCTGAGGTCCATCAGACCTCCATCAGGACCAAACAGAACCCAGAAAGCTGTTTAACCCGTGAGGTCATAGTGATGTCATGGTTGTAAACACACCAAAATGTTGACTCAAAATGTTAATAATTACATAAAAAATAGGTAAAGTTTCAATGACCTAAGAATTAAAAATCAGAATAAGGGACTTTCTGCTAATTAATAATAAACTAATAAATAGTTCGGGAAACCTATTGAGTTTAAATACAAAACTAAAGTTAAACTAGCCTAATGATAAGTTTTATCTTCATTGTAACTGAGGTGTTTATCAGCATCCTGATCATGTGACACTGATCCAGCCTCTCCAACAACATTTAAATCTGAGATTAATTCATCTCATTCCTATTAAATCGACTCGAGCTGCGAACAGAACCTGCAGCTGTGATTCAGGAAGTCGGGCCCAATCCTGTCAGGAAATGAGTTTAGGATCAAAAGCATAATCAAGCTTCTCGCCAGATGTTCCATCAGCAGCTGGAAAATCAAAGCTCCCGGTCAGACTTAACCCGGATTCATCACAACAATTTATTTAGTTTTTTTTTTTACAAGATCCAAACCAAAATTATAGAACAAAAATCCAAACAGCTCATCAGAAACTTGGTGGTTCTGACCGATGTGAAGCATCAGGAAACATCTGGTCTGATTCTTCCTCACTCAGACGTCTGGGTTGGGACAGAAACTCTTTTAGGTTGTGACCCGATTTCTTTAGTTTGGGATCAGCATGTTCTGATCAGTACTGATCAGCTAGCTGTAGCTGATCAGAGACCACAGACTCTTCAGGACCACGGACAGCGAACCACCACCACCCAACCTTCTTAGTAGGGATGTGAATCTTAGAGCAACTCACGATTTGATTCGATTCCGATTCTTGGGGTGCCGATTCGATTCAGAATCGATTCTCGATTCTCAATTTAAATCGATTCACAATCAGTATTAATGAAGAGTGTCAGCTCCAGGATGAACTACTTTGTTGTACAAGTTAGTTAAAGCTACATTTTTATTTGACTTTAAACTGGTCATGCTCCAAAAATGCAAATTTATAATGTAAAATAAAGTGATTCTAAAACTGTAAACAGAAGCAATCTTTTGACCAAAAGGCAACATTTATTTTTGCTTACCTTGTAAAAATATAACAAATCTGTAGTTACCTAACAGTAGCTTTGAAAGTAATACGGTCAAATACTTTTCAAGTATGTGTAGAAACAAGTTACATGAGTAATCCTGAGTACTCATTTATCAACTTAGAAAATAAATATGAGAATATCTCACATTTCTGAGTATGGAAAAAAAATTACATTCAAGTGCCCTCTTATCAGCAGATTCAATCATAAATCATCTCAACTTATGGGACCACAAAAGTAAACGGAGTACTGACTCTCCTAACGAAGATCAAAAAAGTGCATCTCGAACCTGTAACATGCCAAACATTTGAGTCTTGGAATCGATTCTGAATCTTTGTGAATCGATTCTGAATCTTTATAAATAAGAATCCCGACTCAGACTTGAATCGATTTTTTTCGGCACCTCTAGTTCTTAGTGTCTAAATAATAAAACAATGAGCTAAACAATGAATCACAGTTGGTAAAACTAAAATTAAGAACATAAATAATAAAAAAGATTTAAATAATTAACCCTCCCACTGTCCTAATGGGTGTGACCCCGCGAGGAAAGTTGACCATTGAGCAGGGTTGATGGTTTATGCCTTGGGTCCACGTGGCAGGGGGGAGGAGTGAGCACCACCTCACCCTTGCCACGTGGACCTGAAGGGATAAACCATCAGTCCTGCTCAATGGTCAACTTTCCTCGCGGGGTCACCCATAAAGACAGTGGGAGGGTCAACCAGCTGGTCTCTGAGTTTTCTGGATCAGGAACTTTTGTCCTGAATTCCTCAGACTCCTCATTCTGTCTCATTTCTTATAAAATATCAAGTACGTGTCACATCTAATATTACTACAGCTGGTGAAGACACCCACAGTCAGCTTAGCATGAAAAGTGAAGGAAATATTTTTTTAAACAACAAACGTGTGAGAAGCGGGAATAAAAGACTCGGATTCTGTGTTTTAATCACGTATTTATTCGTGTTTAACGTTTCTGTTTCAGCGGGAGTTTCTCTCCTTTACGGCGAGTTCCTGATGATGTCAGAGGGAAGGTCGGAGCTAAATCTGCCCGTCTGTGAACATGTCCGAATAACACGAGGGAGGAACTAAACTATAAGCTCCGGCTAAGCCAGTTAGCTCTTGGAGGATCTAGAGTTCGCCAAAGATCAGTCAGCTTAGCGAACAGCTGAGCTGAACATCCTCACAAACTCAGAAGCTTTCCCTCTCGGCGTCTGGACATCAAGCTCTCTGGGTTTCTGTTACAGAAATTAGAACTGGAGAATAAAGGCGTACGATGAAGGTTCGTCCTGTGAAACAAATAGTGACAAACCAGTGATAACTTCTAGTGGCTTTCAAATAATTGTAAACGATCTGAATCAAATCTGCACCTGTTACTGCGTTTTCTACAGGAGAATCAGTTACAGGGGCGTGTCCAGGGAGTGGCCTGGGGTAGCACATGCCACCCTTAGAATCTGATTGGCCACCCCCAGGTGCCACCCTACTACGTTCCAGTTTAAATTGACTTTACATTGTGACAAAAGGCTTGAGTTGTAAACTCCAAAAATAGTGTGTGGTAGCATGCACCTTTAACATTGTTTACTAGCCCAGGCCTACAGAACATTTCTGTAGTATTAATATTATTTATTATTTTTTCATATTCACATAAATAGTATTTAGAGTCCCACTCAACTCCAGTTGGTGGCAATAATGCAACAAGAAGTGGCTTGCTAACCACCACAAAACTAGAAGATGAATAGAAAAAAATGGTGATTGTGCAATGTGAAACTCCAAAATTCACTAGAAAGTAAATAAATAAATAAACGATTTGTGTAAATAAATAAATAAGCATAACCATTGGTGCCACCCATGCATAAACAAGTGCCCCACATGGGCCACCCCGTTTTAAAAGTCCTGGACACGGCTCTGATCAGTTAATGACATTAAAAGTAAATCTGAGCTGAAAACAGGGATTTAAAGACCAAACGACCCGACTAGTGGACACAAATCCACCCGTACGGACCATCAGCTGGAACCAGACTGAACCACAACTAGAAGTCCAACTCCTAAAACCTTCTGACTCACAGAACTGAAGCCGGACGGTTCCAGGCCGGTTCTAAGTGTGGGTCAACAGCACAGGGCCCTGAGGACCACCAAGAACCCTCGAGAACATTCTCAGGCATTTTGTAAACTGTCTCAAGTGCGGCCCAGGGGGTCGGTAACGTTTTTATCAAAATAAATGGTTTTCTAGCATTAGCACGCATCGCTACAGCTAGCTAGCTTGAGCGTCAGCCTGAGGAAGTTTGCAGCTGCAAACGAAACGTAGCGGGAAAACAGCTAAACAAAACTGCTCCGTGTTTCAAAAAAGAACTGCAGCATGGAGCTAGCTTGCTGCTTCTCATCACGTGGATTCTTATGCATCTGCTTCATCGTTTGTTCGATGAACGTACACAAACGTTTGCCTCTAGACTCAAAACATCTCTGGGTTCACGTCCTCCTAAAGTCGCCACTCGGCTTTGTGGTTTTGTGGTTTTTGGGGGATGTTGGTGTTTCAGCGAGCCTTTTCACCATCGCTGCCCCCGTAACGGTGCGTGAGGAGAAACGGCCGATGACGTTTAAATGACCCGCAATAAATCATAAATATTCTAGCTTGTTACTTATATTGTAGCTCCACCCCCTCCCCCCAGATATTTATGGCATTATTGTGTCCAACAGGATCTTCAGTGAAGGCGGCGCCACCTGTCTGCATTGTGTGGTAATTGAGACGTGAAGTCTTTTCTTCTAAATACTTTATGGGAAGAAAATATGAAGCTGTAAGTCACTGACCCATATGGAGCCCTATGGAGGACTCGAGCAGCACGGGTCAACAAGCAGAACCTTAGGAACCAGAACCAGATGTCGCCCTGAGCTGAGGAAGAACCGTCCAGTTTTTCTTCTCGTTTTTTAAACATTTCTAACATTTAACTCGTTTCTGTTGAACTGAGTCACATTTTAATCAGGAAAGAAAACGTTTTTCACACCTTTTTAACATCGAGCTCCAGTTGGAGACTAAACAACAGCTGTAGGCTTTTTAGAGATGACTTATCTGTGACGCAGCGTCACGTTCGCCCATCCGAAGATGACAGGTACAGACACACCTCCCACCTGAGCCGGCCTCCTGATGCTGTCAGAGGAGCTAAAGGAAATGGAATGGAGCCAAGAGTTGCAGTGTGGCTGAGGTCAGAGGTCAGCTGTGGAGCTCGGGTCAGGTGGTTCTGAAGTTCTGCCTCATCTTCTCAATCCGAGTTTATTCAGGAATAAACTTATTCAAAGGGTGTTCAGGTTTACCTGCGCTTAATAAGCCAGGCCAAGCCTTCACCCCCTCCCCCCTTATATTTATGACAATATTGTGTTAAACAGGTTATTTAGTGAAGGCAGCGCCACCTGTCCCAGTTTGCCACGGACACTCCCAGGTCGCTGCAGCAACTCGGACAAAGACACGGAGTTAGATGATTCATGCTAAACGTCGGGTGTCCCCGTTTCCTGGAGCCGTGGTAGTTACAGTGAGCCTGCCAGCCGAGGCCTGCCCTGTCACGAGTCAGGCACATCACTCTTTACAGCCGCATAATGTAGAAGTAGACAATTTAAAATAAGAGCAAAAAGGCTCTTTTTATTAATAATCATGATAGTAACGTTTCTTATCTATGCTTTTTCTGAATCAGTGACGTTTCTGGCGAATAAAAAAAACACAAGAAAGAAGTAAAGAAAGATGTTTTGTGTTTTTGTGTTCTTCTCGGCTCTAAAAACTCAAAACATGGAAGCAAATCCCAAATAAAACCATAAATAATAATGGTTCTGAATCAAAGGGATAAAAATGTGCTCCTAAACCTTTTCTCTTCATTAAGCACCGATGCAAGTCAGTCTCAGCAACAAGAACCAGCAAAGCCCAGAGGACCGGCGCTGAGCCCGTGGTCCATTTGCCTAGTTTAGTCCAGGAATGGTGAGTCCGATAGCTGTGTTCTGTTTTCTGGAGGTGAACCCTGTTGTCCTGTTTTCCTCTGAGACTGATGGTGGATTTAGAGTTCTGATACCACGACCGGTTTGTCCGCTGGATCATGGGGAAGTTTACTAAATAAATCAAACATTTAATGGTTAAAATCAGGTCACGTGAACATAGAATAAAACTCTGATCTACTGTGATAGAGCAGCTGTGTTTAAAGTGGACGCACACTGTTTATGTTTATCTTTAATATGTTAATTTTTATTATGTTTAAGGTTTCAATCAGATCTAAAGAACAGATTTCATTTCTACAGACTCGGCAAACAGCTGAGCGAGTAAACAAAGAAACTAAAGCTGCTTCCTCCCGCATAGTTACATAATCAGGGGTCAGGGGTCAGGTCACAAACACAGAAAGCATCAATACCAGCTCAGAACCACAAACACTTTAAACATGTCTGAGCTCAGCGCGGTGATTTATTAGACGTAAAGCTGAATAAAGCCAAACAAGTCGTTCATTTTACTGCTTAACTTTTAAAACGTGATGTCCAGAATGGTTCCACCTGGTCTACAACAGCGTTTCCGGGTGTTTTAACAGGGGTCGTGTTTAGAAAACTGTTTAATTGATCTGTGAGCAAACTGTTCCTCTGGGTTTACAAGGAAACATCTCAAACAAACACGACCATAATAATATTTCCGGAGATTTTGGGTCTTCTGTGACCTAATGTGAACATTTAATCAGAGGGAACTCGGCTGGAAATCAAGTTTAATACAGAAACGCTGTGACCCTTTTGGTCTGGGAACTCATTTCGACACAACACCGGGTCTGAATGGTCTGAACCCGCGAGAAACAGAGGAGCTCTCCTTCAGCACCACCGTGACAAACGGTTACCGAACCGAACCCTGCTACTGCTGCGGTGGAAAATCACACAACAACTTCTGCTGAGTCGAACCGAACCGGAACTGCCAAATAACCCTAAAGACCACAGAAACATCCACTGTCGCGACTCCGTTCCACAGGAAGTTAAAGGCAGCGAGAGGAGAGGCTGCATCGGCCTACTTACCATCTACCGCCATGATGCTCTGTTTTGGCTTCAACTACGGAGGGCGGGAAAAGGAGCCGGACCGAACCACTGTGCCTGTGAAGAGGGGAGTGGAGGAGATGTGGAATAGTACGGTCCAGATCTCACGTTAGACAGAGCATGTCATGGCTGCCCGTTCTCACATAATGAGACACTAGTTGAAAATTTCACACCGAAAAAAACAAAAAACAAAACAAAAAAAAACAATTATCTGAGCTACTGCACCATGCTGTACACACAGCGACAGAGGTGGCAGATCGTTTGCTGCTGCGGGCGGCCCCAAGACTCGGGACCTCTCTCCTCCTGAGCCTGAGACCAGTGGACTCAGTGGTCTCCTTTGAATTTACCTGTTCAGGCTTTGGTGTGACCTTCGCCACCTCCCTCTCCTTATTCTGCCCTTATTTCACCTTTCCCGGATCCACCTGTTTCCCAGCCTAGTGAACTAGACCAAATTCTTGCTTCTATAGACTATATATGTGAATATATAGTCTGGCTTACCAGGCTACTGGTTTCCCTCTAACTTATTCATTTTCTCTCTCCTTAGATTTTTTTAATCACATTTTTTTGTATTTTTTAAATATTTTTTAATACTTTTGTTTTTGTGAAGCGCCTCATGATTTTTATCTTGAGAGGTGCTATTCGTTTACTTTCTTTAACACTCTAGCTACAGCGCTTTAAGTTCACCTTATGTGAAAGAAAAGAGGGAATTCACGCCCTCCAGTGGCGAAAAACTAGAACTGAACTCGGGTGTTGAAAATATATATAAGAATAATAATCTTAATTGTTTATTTTTGTCCTCTTGTGAATAATAATATTAAGGAGAAGAAGAGTGGTGACGATGATAAGGAAAATAGGAAACTGCACTTTAAAAGTTTCCATAGTTAATAAAAACACAGTGTTTTGGGACTGCAACAGGGTCTCACTCTTAACGTTTTTTTTCTCTTTTCATTTAGCTAAAAGCACAAATCAAATTACATTTATGTAAGTGCTAAACACAAAGGGTGTGTGCAGTTGCAGACTGCCCTCACGAGCATCTGTACGCGATAGTTTCCTGCATTATTTAGGTCAATTAGATGGGAACACAAGAACTCAATCATCCACTGCCTATTTTGTGAGATTAAGATTATTTCCGCCCTCTCGCGGACGAATTGTGTTACTACAGACATTGTTCATTAACCCAAACAGGATTAAACGATTAAACCCATTAGCTTTTCCGGTGAATTTCTTCAAAATAAAACACACTAAAATGTCTACGAGTTTTTAATTATTGTTGACAGCGTAGTTAACAGGAAAGCCAGAAAGACTTCACTTATACAAACGACTTCACTTATGCAAACGACTTTACTACTAATACTCAACGAATCTATTTTATTTATTCATGTTTAACAAGATTAAATCAACGAGCTAAAGCAGGAACTCTAAGCAGCTAGCTAACTGCACTAAAACGCCATCTGGTGGCAACTAGGTGAAACTACACCCACGGTGGAGGGTTACTAACAGCTCAAATAAAATAAATATATTTAGTTAAAAAAACTTTACTGCCATAGCTTTATAGTTTCTAATGAACTATGTCCAATATAAAATTATTAGTTATTAGCTCAATTAATTAAACTACATGGTTTCCACATTTGATCAATTTATTTTGTTTTACACATAATTAACATTGAGGGTTTTTACGGCCAATTTGCCTCTGAAATTTAAAATCTGCTTGAATATCACTTTTTTTATTACTCTGCCAGAATAATGTGTCATTTTGCCAAATCTAATGTGCTACAGTTGGGATTGTCTGTAGATGTTATTCACCAACGCATCAGTCTCAGATCACACGAAAAATGCCAAACCTGCTTGTTAATTTCAAATGTCACTAACCAGATTTTATTGAAACTCCCAGAAAGATGTAACCTGGCAGGCTAACCCTAACCCTCATAATAAAATAACTAAGAAAAACACATAAAAACAAGTCTCAGGAGGTTAATGTAAACATTTATAGTTTAAAATATGAGTTTAAATTATAAATGTTTGAAATGAAATCATTGGATGAAAAGAACGAATCATTATTTGAATTCTGAGTTGACGTGTGTAGCAGTGAGCTGTAAAAGGCTCTGGTACCATCAGACTTCCTGGTTCTGGTGGACGTTTTTGGGTCTGATACATGCATGTGTGTTTTATCTTGATCTGTTTTATGAACAGATCTCATAAATCTGCTTTTTAGTAGAAGACATGAAGGTTTCTGCTCCGAAATGAATGCTAACTACATTAAACACTAAAATAATTGATCAGTAAAATAATGATGCTAAATTTAAACTTTTATGTTTTCAAATTAAGATTTTTATTCTTCTACATTTCTGGTTGTTCACTGTTGGTAAAATGAAACGTTATTTCTTCTCTTATTGGGGCTGAACTATGTGCTGCTGCTCTTGCTGATGGGGTCAGGGTCTTCTAACCTTCATCCTGGCCTCAGCTCATCCTGCTGCTGCGAGGCATTCAGGGAAATCCTGTAAAACTCAAACACGTTGTGTAAAAACCTCCAGCGTCTCGTCAGAACCAGCTGCTGATTCCTTATATGGACCTACATCAGAAGATGAAAATAAACCCATTAAGTTTTATTTTTAGAGTCAGTTCGTGCTCCTGTGCAGTCAGCAGGTTGCCATGGAAACCGGCAGCAGCCAATGACTCCCATCCATCACTTACTTTCAGAGATTTGTTAACATATTCCTGCTGTGGACCGTCATCAGAACACACACACACACACACACACACACACACACACACACACACACACACACACACACACACACACACACACACACACACACACACACACACACACACAGGTTTGTTGTCTTTTTAGCTGCTGGAGCTACTTCCTGTTGTCATAGAAACGGACCGGTGGCTTTGTTAGCTGCTCCATCACCTTCATCAGGAGGAAAGAGAGCAGCTACACACAACCACGATCTCCTGACCGGAACAGGACTTAGCTGACAGAGACAACAGGTGAGAGGACACTGCGTGTGATGTCACAACAGTGTTTATAAATCCCTCGTGTCCGCAGCAGGAAGTGCGACCTTGACAAAAACCGGAGCGCTGCTGCTCCAGAGGATTTTCACCCACAAACACAAAAGAGCATTTAGAAAACAATCAGTCACCATTAAGGTGGAAATCCAAAACAACCTAAGAAATTCTGATTCTCGTCTATTTTCTCTATTTGTTTATTGTTAGGTTAAATGGTTATTTTATATATTTAGTATCTCAGGATGTTTCCAGTGTGGTTTCAATAATGCAATTCTTTGTTTTATCCAGAAGAGGGCAGTACAGTAACATCAGCAAACACCTGGAACCTTTAATCTGCTGTCCTCAGGTAGACACAGTTTCAGGTAACCCCAGCCTTCAGTGACTATCACCTTTAACAGTAAAAACAACAAACAGGAAGCAAAGCCGATGAGCCACAAAGTTTCTGGTGATGAGAGCAGGTCAGCTGATGTGACACCACCGTGGGATGATGAAGGGTTTTTATTCTACTCTATTTATCCGACATCCGAGGCAACATTTCATATTTATTACCATTTCCTGGTGTGATGCAATCATTTGATCATAAAACCAAAGAAAACGATCCATAAGAGGCCACGTGACGCATAAATCATTCATGTTTTCACATCTTTTCACTCTTTCATTAATGAAAACACAAACGCTGCTCGTCCTCCTCCTGATGCGTTAGGCAAACGTCTGAAAGCAGACTAACTGAACTTGAGCAATCAAGCTCATAAATCAGTGAGGAGCCGTTTCCACGGCAACAGCCTCCCACACACATCTGCACCTACAACAAATCTCCAGAAGGAACCCCTGAAGAACCTGTAGGTTGTTCTAAATGTGTTCTTACTTGGTAAAAACTAATCTTCATAAACCCGAAGCCATGAGCTGAACTCTTTAATGTTTGAGTTATTATTAATAAAACACACCACTGCGCCACCATGTGGCTCTGAGGTTTGGGATCTGCTGAATCTGCCCGTTACAAACCACAGCTGTTCTAATCTTCATACTTAAACCATTCATTTAGTTTTTACAGGTGTGTCTCACACACCTGGACCCATTCACGTAATCTAAATGTGTAGTTTTTCCTTCAGGGCGCTCAGCTCTCCCATGTTGATGCTGCTGCCGCCACACACAATCACCAGCAGGGGGCGCAGCGGCGTCGGCAGACGACCTGGACAGCAAAGAAGGATGTTTATAAAAACTCACATCTGAGGTTATTTCAGGTCAAAGGTCATAGGTCATAAAGGTAGTTGCACAGGGCGCCACCTGCTGGTGGAGCACTGGTGCACCCTGAGAACAAAAAACACTCAAATCTCTAATAATTATTACGACGGTTCGGGAACCAGAAACATGAAGAAAAAGAATGTGAGGCACGCCTGTGTGTGTGTGTGTGTGTGTGTGTGTGTGTGTGTGTGTATGTGTGTGTGTGTGTGTGTGTGTGTGTGTGTGTGACAGAAATGATGAGAACTCATTACCTTGTTCCTGTAACCTGCGTATGAGTCCGCTGTAGACGGCTGCTAATGCTGCCCCACAAGCCATCTCCACCAGCACACGCTCCTCATCTACACACACACACACACACACACACACACACACACACACACACACACACGGTTTAAAATTAGAAGCACAGCTGATTGAACACATGAAACAGTCAGAACAACAGAAGCATTGACTGACGTTAGTGATGAATAATGACGTTTTACTGGTTTTGATCACTAGAAGCGGGTCCTTAAACACACCACGACCAAACGCACTGACCCAGGAACGTGTCGATGGCGGTCAGAGCCTGTTGATCCGTCACCAGCTCAGAGATGATCTTCGGCTCGCCGCTCCGGCTGTACTCGAACGCTCGCTGACAAACCGTCTTCGCTCCCAGACACTTCGCCTCACTGCGGAAAGTCGGAGGGTGACGGTGCGTTCAAGGGCTTCAACACAGTGACAAGATCCAAACATCTCACCTGGTGATGCCATCCAACGTCACCACCTTCCCTGCCTTTATAGCAGCATTTAAGCAGTCCGCCCCCACCGTCTCCATGGCGATGATGGGAACGTCCATCCAGCCGACATCCTTCATGCCCTGGATGACCCCACACAGCAGGCCCCCCCCACCCACAGACAGCAGGATGGCCCCTGGCTTCACACCAGAACCCAGAGAGGCGGAGACTTCTGCTATCATGCTGGCGTGGCCTTCCCTGGGAATGTTATGGGATCGTTTGTGACGAAAAAAAAAAGATAAAAACATTACTCGGAGAACCAAGTTCCTACCACAGAAAGGGGTGATCGAACGGAGGGACGAAGGTCAGACCCTCAGACTCTGACAGTCTGAGAGCTTCAGCATTGGCGTCGTCCCAAACCTGAGAAGAAACATACCTCCATGACTTTATGCTCGGATTTATAAATTCAAACTGTCATCAGAACGTATCGGACCTTCCCAACAATCCTGACAGTAGCACCCTCGTCCTGGAGTCTCCGGACCACCAGCTGTGGACTCGAGGACGGGACAACAATGGTGGCTGGAACACCCATTTTCCTGGCAACATAAGCAGCAGCCATTCCTGCATTCCCACCTGGAAAAACAACCTCGTTAACATCAGACCAACACGGTACAACTGGGAATGTTGTGTGTGAGGATACCTGAAGCACACACAACTCCTCTGGACCGCCCGGAGAGCTGCAACAACACATCAGTCACCTTCTGATCCAACAGATCCACTCTGGATTTTACCAAATGGTTCTGACCTGCTGGCAGAGGTGTCCGATTCCCCGGATCTTAAAGGAACCGGAGGGCTGGGAATTCTCCATCTTCATATAGACGGTGGTTCCCAGGAGTTTAGACATGCTGACACTCTCCAGGAGAGGAGTGTTCAGGTGGAAATGTTCCTGCATGGTGAAGAAAACCTGTCCAAAAATAAACAAATAAGTGCAGAGCTGGTAATGGTGAGTTTATCGGTGTTCGATTATTGTGTGACTGGTGATGCCTTCAGGCACAACTAAAACCACGGGAAAATAAGCTCAATATCTTATCAACGGTGTCATTATAAGTGTATATAAGTGGTATAATTGGACATCTAAAAGAAATCTAACTTTAAAATACCATCAAAACCATAATAAAAAAACTGCTGATGGCAGAAATGTTTCTTCTTGTGTTGAATTTGAGTTTTAAAAACGCTGGTTATTTTTTAACAATAAAATATTTATAAATTTTAAAATAAAACATTGAAACGTACAAAACTTTACTTACGTTTATTAAAATGTCTCCTTCAACGAACGTCTAAAGTGCAAATGTGACTGTTTTTACATGGTGTCAAATATTAGATACATTTTTACGGTGCTAAATATGTAGCATGTAGCCAAATAACTGAGTACTACTTCCTGTACGACCTTCAAAATAAAACGCGTACACAGTTTCAGGCATTTTTTTAAATAAAATTGAAGTTTTCCTACGAAAGAAAAACGCATCGATAATAAATATCAAACATTAATTTAAAACAAATATTTTAGCTGAACGTCTGAAAGCTTTGTACTATTTTGAAAAGCTACAAGCCGTTTTCCTGGTCGGGCGGCAACCTTGATGTTTCTAACTGTGAATCATAAGTAAAGTGAGCCGATTGTTTCAACCGAGTCTTTTAGCTATTTTAAGTCTCCAGAATATCGAGAGAAAACGTCGTTTGCACTGTGACGCCATTGTGAATTTTTCGAAACCTAACAAACTCACCTGTTAACGTCGCTGCTGATCTAGACCTGAGAAGATTGAACTTTGATTCGCAACCAAAGTCCAGCTTTTATTACAAGTACGCTGATAATTACTTTGATTCAGCAAGTGGGAAAACAACTAAGAACTACGGATGTTTTCTTGTTTTCTACAAAGTGTTGTTTTGTAATAGTGTGTGAGATCCTAAAAAGTACGTTAAATAATTAGGCCTGAGTGTTTTCTCGCGATATCTCGCAAAAAACATCCTTTATGCAGGACTCAGCAGAGTCCCTGATGTGTAACTAAAGGGCCAGATGGGCCCCACTAATAAACTTTTTGTTAGATGACCACAAATCCACCACGCGACGCTCTGATGTCGGCTCACTCAGCACCTGGAACCAGTCTGATTAGTTTCCGAGTCAAAAACTAGAAAAACATCAGACAAGAGAGGGGTTAGAGACCTGCGAAACCGAGTCACGACTTAGTTGGGAATCCAAGTGATGATAAAACCTAAACATGACTTTTTGATTGTTCTGTGATGAGAAACTTGCACAAAAGTTTATTCAACATTCAGTTGGACTTCTGTGTCGAACAAACCAAAAGCAGTCACAGATCAGAGGCTCAACAAAGCATGACGTTTATTTGGGGCCCTCAGAGGGCTCCTGTGTGTGACATATCCTCCCGGTGATGCAGAACCAAACTCGGAGACCTCTGATTATACTTTTATTATTATTATTATACATTTATAGGTACAGGCTGTCCTTTTCACATCAAACAAACCTGCATGGACACTAGGGGGCAGCAGAGTGTTACATCAGCACCAACAGAAACAGAAAAAATGATAGAAAATGTTCTGTTATAAATGATTTAAAGGAATAAAACATCAAACAGGTTTTATTGTCTCAGCAGTCACAAGATACATTCTAGAATTTGAGCAAACTTTAGTTTTCAAATTTAAAACTGAAGAAGATTTATGGTGATTATTTGGACTAAAAGGGTTCTGTTATTCTGAACTGTAACCACCACTCACTTCCCTCCACGCGCTCCTCCTCGTCTCCGGTCTGACGCGTCGGCCTGAACTAAGCGCCGCTGGTCTGTAACGTTTCCCAGATGCCGTCTGTGTGAAATCAGAGCCGTAATCCTCCTCTGATCTGGAACCAAACCGCAGAAACCACACGCTGCTCTCCTGGCTTTCCTTTCAAACACTTTCAGTTTGTCCTCCTCCTCACTTTCTCCTCTCCGGCTTCACTTCCACGTCCCCTCCATCTCATCCAACCGCTCAGGTTCTTTCTTTTTACATGAAACCATGGAAAAATAACTAAGGTCAGTAATCTCCACAGCTTGTGTTTTTGTGTTGCATGGAGCTGGGAGCTACGGCGTCTTCGTAATGCTGGAAAAGTCCAGAAACAAAGGTCCAACCAGGTGGACAGAATTCTTGTTTCTACCATAAAGTGACTCCAGCTTTTATCTGAATCATCATGGCCTCCACCCTCTTCCTCCTGGTCCGGGCTTCATGCTAGCGAGCGTTGTCTGGGTTTGATCCTGGGATACAGCTGCAGACACACAGAACCGGCACATCCTGGTCATCAGGAGGACGACGTTTGGACTCAAACAACCAAACTGCTTCCTTCATGCAAAAGCATCATCAAGTCTGTCTGGGTTGCATTTAGACACCTGGGTTTATTACTTAAAGAGCAAGTCACCCCCAAATAAACTTTTTTTTTCTGATAAACTATATACAGTTGTGGTCAGAAGTTTACATACACTTGTAAAAAATATAATATAATGGCTCTACTGAGTGTCCCGTTATTTCTAAAACTGATTTTTCTCTGATAGAGTGATTGGAACAGATACTTCTTTGTCACAAAAAACATTCATGAAGTTCGGTTCTTTAATGTCTTTATTATGGGTTAACAGAGAAAAGTGATCACATTTGCTGGGTCACAAATATACATACAGCAGTGCTAATATTTGGTTACATGTCCCTTAGCCATTTTCACTTCAATTAGGCGCTTTTGGTAGCCATCCACAAGCTTCTGGTTGAATCTTTGACCACTCCTCTTGACAGAATTGGTGAAGTTCAGTTAAATTTGATGGCTTTCTGACATGGACTTGTTTCTTCAGCACTGTCCACATGTTTTCAATGGGGTTTAAGTCAGGACTTTGGGAAGGCCATTCTAAAACCCTTATTCTAGCCTGATTTAGCCATTCCTTTACCACTTTTGATGTGTGTTTGGGGTCATTGTCCTGTTGGAACACCCAACTGCGCCCAAGACCCAACCTTCGTGCTGATGATTTTAGGTTATGTTGAAGAATGTGAAGGTAATCCTCCTTCTTCATTATCCCATTTACTCTCTGTAAAGCACCAGTTCCATTGGCAGCAAAACAGCCCCACAGCATAATATTCCCACCACCATGCTTGACTGTAGGCATGGTGTTCTTGGGGTTAAAGGCCTCACCTTTTCTCCTCCAAACATATTGCTGGGCATTGTGGCCAAAAAGCTCGATTTTTGTTTCGTCTGACCACAGAACTTTCCTCCAGAAGGTCTTATCTTTGTCCATGTGATCAGCAGCAAACTTCAGTCGAGCCTTAAGGTGCCGCTTTTGGAGCAAGGGCTTCCTTCTTGCACGGCAGCCTCTCAGTCCATGGAGATGCAAAACACGTTTGACTGTGGACAATGACACCTGTGTTCCAGCAGCTTCTAATTCTTGGCAGATCTGCTTTTTGGTGATTCTTGGTTCACTCTTTACCCTCCTGACCAATTTTCCCTCAGCAGCAGGTGATAGCTTGCGTTTTCTTCCTGATCTTGGCAGTGATGAAACAGTGCCATGCACCTTATACTTACAAACAATTGTTTGCACTATTGCTCTTGGGACCTGCAGCTGCTTTGAAATGGCCCCAAGTGACTTTCCTAACTTGTTCAAGTCAATAATTTGCTTTTTCAGATCCATGCTGAGCTCCTTTGACTTTCCCATTGTAGCGTTTGTATCCAATGAGCCCTATTTACCTGGCCTAAGAGAAGTCACCAGCTGTAGTCACTCATAATCACTCACAAGAAGTTAAGAGGCCATGCTATGAAGCTCAGTTCACTGACACGTTTCTAAGTCACCAAAATTGCTAGTTCATGTTGCTGTATGTATATTTGTGACCCAGCAAATGTGATCACTTTTCTCTGTTAACCCATAATAAAGACATTAAAGAACCGAACTTCATGAATGTTTTTTGTGACAAAGAAGTATCTGTTCCAATCACTCTATCAGAGAAAAATCAGAGTTTTAGAAATAACGGGACACTCAGTAGAGCCATTATATTATATTTTTTACAAGTGAATGTAAACTTCTGACCACAACTGTAAATGTGTGTCTAATTGTGCTGCAGACACGTGTAGTCAATAGTTTTGCACTTTAGTGCATTTTAGTTAAAATTTAATTTTTCTGCCTAAAACTGTCAGTGTTGTGCCGTCGTCAGGTAAAAACTCTGCACTGCATTTGAATTTAAATCTGCCATCGCTATTGGCTAAGAGGTACCCTAGAATGTTAGCTGGTACCATATGATGTCACAATACCATTGTGAGCCTGCGTGTGTGTATTAGTGGCTCCGCCCTCTCGGTCTGCTAGGCAACAGCATTTGTTGCATTTTTCAAACAGGAAGTGGGAGTGGAGTAAGAATCTGGTAGGGGTGACTTGCTCTTTAAAGGAATAAAATGTTAAAAAGCTTCATATTTAAAGAGCAAGTCACCCTCTACCAGAGTATTACTCTGCTCCCACTTCCTGTTTGAAAAATGCAACAAATGCTGTTGCCTAGGAGACCGAGAGGGCGGAGCCGCTAACAAATACACGCACAGGCTTGCAACGACATTGTGACATCATATGGTACCAGCTAACATTCTAATGGGCCATTCCCATCTGTACCGGGTCGGCCCGGGCCGGGTAGCGTAGGTTGTTTACATATCTGGGTGGCCTGGTATTTTTCCGGGCCAACCAAGGCTCATTTTGAGCCCTCTTCTCGAGGGGGTCTGCTTCAGGCCGACCAGGGCCAACACACCCACTGCTGACAGCAAATTCACACCTTCCATTAGAGCAAGCCTCTGATTGGTGAGTAGAATCAGCCCACATGGGCTTAAGACAAGGATGTGTGGAATCAACCGGGCCAGGCTGGGGCCTGAAGCGTTATAAATAAAGCTTTGATTGATTGATTGATTGATTGATTGACTGGGGCTACCCGGCCCGGGCCGACCCGGTACAGATGGGAATGGCCCATAAGGTACCTCTTAGCCAATAGTGATGGCCGATTTAAATTCAAATGCAGTGCAGAGTTTTACCTGACAACGGCACAACACTGACAGTTTTAGGCAGAAAATTTAAATTTTAACTAAAATGCGAAACTATTGACTACACGTGTCTGCAGCACGATTAGACACGCATTTTAATATATAGTTTATCAGAAAAAAAGTTTATTTGGGGGTGACTTGCTCTTTAAACAGCGGAGGCGGGTCGCCTAAAACCTCAGGTCACCGAGAGTCGACTCGGGTCAAACCCCAGATAAGCTCCCACCCTCGCTCTCCTTTAGCAGGAACTCTTAGATTAAAACAACTCTAGAACAGGAACTGGTTCTCACCCCCAGCAGGTTTCTGGGTACGTATCCTTCACGGTCGCTCAGCCTCGCCCACCACCACTCTGTCTCAGTGTCATCATGGCGACGTAGCACGGTGATGGTGTCGCCCTCTCTGAAGGAGAGCTCGTCGTTCTGCTGGGCCGTGTAGTCCCACAGGGCGTACACCAGACCTTTGTTCATCACTCCCAGCTTCTCCTGAACACCTGGGAGAGACGGATTAACTCAGAGACAATCCTCCTCCACCGCCACCCGACAGCCAAGATACCCACCATACAGGAACTGGGAACACTGGCTGTAGCCTTCTTCCATTTCCTCACATTTATCTGCTGCCGTTTCCACGTCGCTGATCGTTGTGGCAAAAATGGCCGCCCCAGACTCGACCAGCATCTTACAGAGGTGAACGCTGTTACAGGAAGCTGCGCAGTGAAGAGGAGTCCTGCAAACACAAGACGTGTTCAAAGTCTGCAGCTGGATAACCATCATGTCATCTCCTCTCCTGTTCTGGTCCGGGCCCAGTTCATCTCAAAGCTAACAGGTTATGGCTCTGGTGATGGCGGTACTGACCATCCGTCGCTGTCGGCGGCGTTCACGTTAACACCGAAGTCCAGCAGGAACTTGACGATGTGGTGGTGACCAGCGCAGACGGCGTTATGAAGAGGAGTTATGCCTTCATCGTTGGGCATGCTGGGGTTTTCCACCTGAGACGAACGTTTGAACCAGAATACATCAGACTTAGATTAGAAGACCCATCCGGTCTCTAAACAAGAACCACAGAGCGTCACGACTGAGACCAGATCTCCTGAAACAAGAGCGCCTCAGGAGCTTCTGGTAAACCCACTGAGAGTGGGCGGGTCAGAACCAACAGCTCTTTGTTCTGGATTACAAGAAGTGTTTTATTTAACTCAGAGAAACATCAAAGGATTACTTTCAAACTCAAAGTCAGATTTAGTTTCATGAATTAAAAAATCGTTTATATTTTTATCATCAGATCTTCGGTTTACAGCAGTTTTAGCATTTGGTGTTCCTCAGGGCTCCATATTTGGACACTGACGTCCAGATTGTCCTTGTCCCCTTAAATCAGGCCTGCTGCTTGGAACTGGACTTGTGGATGCCGACGGGCGTCTCATCAAATTTTGGCATCAAGACGGATGACCCCCGTTTTTCTGGAGACCTGCCAAACCTCGCCTTCAGGAATGTGGTGAGTATTCCCTGCACGTCGACCAGAACCTGGCCCTGAATGAGGACGATCCCGGAGCTAGCTCGTACTGATGAGGCTCTGGCTACAGGTGAGAAGACTGCCACACTGACTCTCTGAAACATCTCTTTGGAGACTGAAGTAGTCCAGGATTCCCTGACTTGAAATATAAAAAACCTCCAAGCAGACCCGGTGTGAATAAAAACTTAAGAGATTTTATTTTCCCGTTTTACCTCATAGATGATCCTCTGAACCAGATCAAACTCTCCTTCTAGGGAGGCATCCAGCAGCAGAGCTAAAGGGTTGAACTTGACTCTCAGACCGTGGCCGGTTCGCTCTGATGATGGTTTCTTCAGGTTGGTTCGCTTCACCTGCAGAACACAGAAAAACACAATGAATCTGTAAAATATTGATTTCATCCAAATGTCAGAAATGTTTTGATTGGTGGTCCTGTGGACCTTAGGCAAAGGAGGCGGGGCAAAAGGAGCAGGAGAGGGGGAGGCGTTGCTTATGTTGTGGGCGGGGCTTATTCCTCTCTGGTTGTTATTCTGGTCCTCTGAGTTTTCAGGAGCAGGAGGTAGACTCGGCTGTGTGGACAGAGAGACACTACTGGTGCCTTCGGCTGGTCCTGTTGTCTCTTTGGACGTTTCCAGGGTAACAAAGGGCGGAGACGAGCGACGGGACTCTTCAGCCTCCACAGCGGGGACGCCTACCGGCTTCTCACTGGGCTCCATGTTCCCATTGGCAGAGTGGATGTTGTCCATGTCTCCCAGAAGACAGTCGGGCTGGTAGAATGGGTTACCTGGAAGCAACAACAGGAAACAACCTGAGTCTCACGACTTTAACCTCGTAAAACACGTAGACATTTGTGTGTCTCACCTGACCCTCCCTCCATCCCTCCTGCCAGCGTGTTGAACCTGAACACCAAACATCTTCTGTGAGTTCCAGCAAACCAACACGTTTTGTTCTTCAGGGTCAAACTGAGCCGCTCACCTCTGGTACAACAGCTTCTGGATGTTCGGCCCCTGAGGGCCCTCAGGCTCTGTGATCGAGCTCCGTTTCTTCAGGGGCCGCGGCGCGTTGCTGAGGCGTCGACGCAGAACCTCCAGGTCCGTATCGCTCTGGTACCGCATCTGGGCGTGAGCTGTGGAGATGGGAGACCAAACCTTTATGTTTATCATTTCTGCTTCCAACTCTGGCATCGTTTAATCAGGTCTAACACTCCAGCAGCAGCAGCAGGAGCGTTAGGGGTGTGAGACGCATCAGAAACCCTAAACCAGAGACAGGTTGTTTGGCCTTTAGAGAAACTCCTAAATCGTGATTTCATGATGAAAAAATGTTTGTGGTTGTTTGTTGTTGTTTGTTATTGTTTGTGGGGACGTGGGTCTGGACCTACCCATGGGGGTGAGCTTGGTTGGACTAAGGGGGCGTGGGATGTTTTCCACGCTGGGTGGAGGAAGAACCTGTCCATCGCCGGTCTCTCCTCCTTTATCTTTAACGTCCTCCCCTGCTGCCTTCACACCTCCTCCATGGAGGAACGGGATGGGGGAAGGGGAGGAGGAGGAGGTGGGGAGGATGGGTTTGCCGTAGACTGTAAAGAAGAACGGGTTGTTATTGTTTTTTTTCTCAACGCTGCGTTTCGAGCGTGGAAACGACGCTGGGTAGAAACCTGCTTTGACGGCGGTTCTGTTGCTCAGGGATCCGTAGCTCTTGGACTGAGGCTGGTGGAGGTACATGCTGTAGATGGAGCTGCTGTTCATGGTGGGGGGGCCCTTCCTGGGGGACTGCGGTCTGGACGGGTGGTCGGGGACGTAGGGACGTACGGCTACAGCGGGAGGGGGGTCAGTACGCTCTGTCTGAGGGGGTTGGGGGGCGGAGTCAGAACCTGATGACACAAACAAATACACAACAAATGAAATATTTAGCTTGTTTTCCACGTTTATCAGTAAAAGCAGGTTTGATTACTTTGATACGAAGCGGGAGGAACAGAAATACGCTGCTGGATTTGCTGTGAGGAGGAAGAGGAGGACGATGAAGAGGTGGATCTGGGCCAGCCCAGGGTACCAGGAGCAGATCGGGGCAGTGAGCTGGTGGTAGAGTGATGCCCCGCTGCCTGATGGGAAGCACTGGGGTAGGTACCGTACCCAGAGGGCAGCTGCAGGGGCGGAACCAGAGGAGAACCTCAGAAACACGATTTACACCAAAAACATCCAGATATTTAAAAACCAGTAATACTAAACGTTCAAGTCAGAAACAGAACCTGTTCTGGACCACAGATCCTCCAGTCCGGTCCGCTCTTACTGAGGCTGGACCAGGAAGCTTCACTGGCTGAACAGAGAGAGGAAATAATCAGGAAAACCGAACGTCTGATCCGATCGGGAGAAGAAATGTCACAGAAAGTTCTGGATGCAGCTAAAGCCTTTAAACTGGTTAAGATGAAAAAACCAGTGAAACCACAAGGCACTGGGTTCAGAGACCCCCCCCCCCCCCCGACAGACACCACCCCACCGACCGATAACTGTGGTCTCTGCTCTTTAAACACACTTTTGATAAAAGCGGAGCTTTTAGTTCATTCAGGTTGTGAAACAAAGGGAAATAACTCTTTTGTATTAAAGTGCCTCTGCTGTGGGAATTCTGTACACTTAGAGCAGAACCAGTTAGAACCAGTTTGTGTCATTCTCTGTAGGGTTCCTGTGACGCCGTCCTGGACCAGGTGAGGTCTGATGTCAGCGTTTTTCACCTGCTTAAATAATACAGTAACTATACCTGCAGCTTAACCAGGCTGCTTCAGGGGCCCTGAGGGGCCGCGGGTTAGGGACCACAGGAGGCCCCAGGGCCGCGGGTCTGAGACCCTGCTTCAATCCTAGGATGAAGGAAACTGAAGGTTCAGAGGTAGGGCAGCATTTCAGACTCACTACGGTTAACCTCTTCAACCTGCTGACCTCACGGAGAAACGGTCAGCTTTGCGTTGGGTGGAAACTCGACCATCTGCCTGAGAGCTCAGATTAGAAGCAGCCACTCAGAGTCATGCAGCAGAGAACACGGGAACAACACGGGAATAACACGGAACGTCGTGGAGAGGATTAGCTCTGTCCAGCGAGTTCCTCCTTTGGCTAACAGCTAATGCTAGCTAAACTACGCTTCAGAAGATCTAGATGCTAGCAGAGTTTGGGACCTTCTGGACTTCCTTCTGTGACGCGTTTGCTAAAACCAGCTGACCTTTAACCTCTGGCTACTGTAAACAGCTGCAGCTCTCACTTCCTCTCATTCACCAGCCGGGTCTGCTGGTTCTGATTAAGCTGCAGCGGTTTCCGTGTTACATAAGGATGCAGGGGGAGCGGAGTGGTGGCATTCCTGAACTCCGTGAGCATTTTACCAGAGCTGGATCAGAACTTTCTGCTTCTATCGTAAAGTTCTGGAGCCGATCAGAACAAAAACACGAGTTTTACTGTTCCTGAATCCTGCTAACGGTTCGGATTTATTCTGACCGACTCCAAACCGGGTCAGAGGTCATGAAGGAACCCGAGTGTGGTTCTGAGTCCAGTCTGTCTCTTTTCTGACCTGATTTCATAGTTTCTATCCACCATCTGCTCTAATCATACTCAGGATTCAGAACCAGAACCCGGGTTCGGGTTCAGTTACGTGGGTCTCAGCCCGTCCCTGGTCGTTGGGACGAATATCCGGCGTGGTGACATCAGAGTAACAACCAGACAGAAACAACAACACCCCCCCCCGCATTTGCTTTTGTTAGTGATGACAACATCAGCTCCACGTGACCCGGTTCTGTTCTGCTGAACAGCTCGGTGGGGGTCGAGCCTAGGTTTGTGTCCCTCAGAGAGAATCAGGTCCGATGACTCAGAACCTGTTTAGCACCTCAGGTGGTTCTGACTGGCGCTTTGGGTTTTTCCACACCTGATGAAACCAGAACTCACTGTTGGTACCGTCCCGTCCTTGTGGGGACGGAGGTCCGTCCCACGTCTCCGTGGGCTCAGACAGAACGATGTCTAAATCCGACACAATCCACGGGCCGGGAGGCTTTCTGGTACCAGTCTCATCCTCCTCTGCACCACCACACCACACACCACACACCAAGTAACAACACCGTCACCATAGCAACAAGCACCAAACCAGGACCACAGAGTCACCAAGAACGTGGGGACATTGAACAGATAAGGGAGGAGGAGGAGAGGAGCCAACAGACAGGAAAAACAAACAGAACCAAGGTTAGAACCGGGTTAGAACCCAGAGACTAAAAATGTTAAGAGAAGAAAGTAAAAGTGGAACCTGAGAGGGAGCGGATGTGGCTCAGCGGGCCGGGTTTGGGGGCTGGGTCAGCAGCCAGCGGGTGTCCAGGATCTGGTCTCCCCTCAGCCGGGACCTGGATGTAGGGACAGACGGCCGCTACTCGCCCCGACACCCCCCCGCCCGAGTGGGGGGACTTCTGGGGGGAGGCCGGTCCTGCTCCGTTCATACGACTCAGCTGGACAACGAGACCAGATGTTACCAAACCTCTCATCTCACGTCTGTGTTCCCGGGTTTGGATCAGAACCGGGCTTACTTCTGCTCTCTTCTTGTGCAGACGTTCTCTCAGGTCACAGATGCGCTGGTCCATCACCGTCACCTGGGCGTTCCTCTTGTTCAGCAGCTCCTTGTTTTGGGCCAGTTTGCTGCTCTGCTCCAGGTTGTGTCGGTTCCGCGCCTGAACCACAAAACCAAAATCTTCTTCACCACAGAACCGGCTGGTTCTGGTCATGTCGGTCACAGGGTTGGAGTTTACCTGAAGCTCCTGGTAGAGTTTCCTGAGCTCCACGGCAGCAGGGCCAGACAGGGGGGACCCCCTGTGGGGGCCTGGGGCCCCTTGGGACCCAGCGGGTCCCCCCTGACCCGGGGACCCAGAGTGCAGCTGAACACGTCCCCTCCTCAAGTCCTCCAACTGCTGGGTCAGCTACAACACCGTAAAACGAGACCACATTAAGATCTACCCTTAAAAGGAGCAGCAGAGGAAGTGACATCATCACAGAAGGAGGAGCAGGGAGATGAGGGTCGGGGCTTCCAGCAGATTACAAAGAAAACACAGATTAAAGCAGATGAACATGTAAACAACATTCTTCTCGGATGTTTTAGGTCTGATGAACCAGAATCACAGGAAGTTCTGTCGGGATGACCCGGAGTCAGACAGGACGGTTACCAAGCCAACGTTTCATTCGTGCTAGAACTATGACACTCGGTGTGAAGGATTATTATTTTAAAAACGAAGAATCATCATTTTTTCCTCTCATCCTGGGTTTTAAACGCTCTCGGGACCGGGCTGTGGTGCTGGTTCCGCGGCGGGTTTTCACCTGGTCGACTCTGATGACGGCAGACTGAAGCTCCGCCTGCTTCTCCTGAAACAAGGTGCTCATGTGGTCGATCTCTGCAGCTGGAATCAGACAAAACCCACAGAAGTCGTTTTTATCACCGTTTAAACATCATCATCATGTAACCATGACTCGTGTTCTGTCTGAAGCAGAGGCGGGTCCAGCTGCTGGCGTCATGTGATCCTGGTGGGAGAGGACTCACACAGGTTCCCGTTGATCAGCTTGCTGTAGTCCACCTGACCCCTCATGGCTCGGATCTTCTTCAGCTTCGCTTCCTGGGTCTCCACTCGCTCTTTGAGCCGCTGCAGCTTTTCAGCTTCAGACTGCAACACCCAGCAGAAAGCGTGTTTCAGCGCATGGCTGACGGGACCCGGAGAGTCAGGCCTGTTTGTTTATGACGGACAGGTGAGACCTACCTGAGTCTGACCCTGGCCGGACCTGCCCCCCTGCTGAAGGTACCTCAGCCTCTGCTCCTGCAGGGAAACGAGACGTTTAAACCTCGGTCAGCTGAGAAACCGCACCTGTTTAGGTTCTGTCTGCTCTCGATGTAGCAGAACCGATCGGACTGAAACATTCAGAGGAAACAGCTGAGCTGCTGCGTGTGAAGCTGACTGTGGCAGTTTACTGTTTCATGCTGACGTGCTGTAAAGCTGACTGGTGTTGTTCTCTCTCTGTCTCTCTCTCACACACACACACACACACACACACACAGAGATGAAGATTTGTTTGTTATGTTCTGATCGGGAACATTTAAAGGGACGGACAGGAACGTTCTGTCAGCTGTTCCTTTTCCCGTGCTCTGCGAGTTAAATGAAAACTCTCTGTGGAGCAGCAGCAGAACGTTTCCTTCCACAGATCCAAACGAACAGGAAGGAATCCTTTAATATGTCACTTTGAGAGAAAAACGGCTGGAAATCTGCAAAACTGGACATAAAAAATAAAAATGCACCAGGATCAATCAAATGAAGCCAAATATAGGAAATCAGTGATCTGTTTTACTCTGAGTGGACACTTGTGTCTGCTGGAGAGCAGCTCCAAGTTTCCCTACAGCTGCAACTCCTTGATGATATCACTTCCTGTCAGTTCAGAGGTCACTTCCTGAAGAATGACCAACTATGATCCCAGTGACTGTGGTGGGACGCCGAATGAAATGTGAGCATTTCCTGTTAGCTCTTATCACAACTCGTCACACTTCCTGTTTCTATGTGCAGATTTAACATGCACGCGCGCACACACACACACACACACACACACACACACACACACACACACACACACACACACACACACACACACACACACACACACACACACACACACACACACACACACACACACACACACACACACACACACATACACACACACACACACACACACACACACACACACACACACTGAAGGTTTGAACTCCACCTTTCAGCCTGACAGGTGACCCATCCTGCTGCTCGTTACCTTGGCGATCAACATCTGCTGCTGAGCTTCTATTTGTTGCTGTTGTCTGGTGGCCATTTCCTGGAGCTCAGAGAGGGTCAGCTCTACACGAGGAACCTACACACACACACACACACACACACACACACACACACACACACACACACACACGCATGCACGCACGCACGCACACACACACACATTAGCAACCCTGTTTTTTAATGCTGATGTTTCTATTCCTTTTTCCTAAATAATAGAACAGAAAGCCCAAACAGGATGTAACACACACACACACACACACACACACACACACCACCTGGAGTTACATCCATCTAACGAGATCCAGACTATAAACTATGAATTCTCCTGGTGAGGGTCAGGGGTCAGAGGTCAGTCTGCGGTTTAAGGGCTGCTCGCGTCAAAGCGAAGTGAAAGAGGCTGTATAAATTCAAAGGAAACTCAAAATGCTTCCTGGTTTTTCCAGAACCTCGAGGACAACTCCGACCCTCCCTGTCCCAGGATGCATTGCGGGCTGGACAGCAGAGTTTTGCAGTTGTAAAAATGGTGGATCACAGTTTTAAAGGCGTGTATCTGGCAGCACAGAGTAAGAGCTTAAAGCGCTTGTCTCGTTTGCATGTTTGTTTTTTTAAATCAAATCCTCGTAGCTCGTACGGTATCAGGGATGGATGACGCTGAGCTTCGGGTTTTCTGTCACGCTGAGACAATATTCACGTTACAGGCCGCTGTTTAAACACTGCAGAAGTAAAACCATCTCTTATCAGCGTGATCTGCTCCAAAGAAAACCAGTCTGAGCTGGTTTTACTGGGACCGACTCATAAACCAATCAAACTAATGATGTAGGGAGAACGCGTCTTCCAGCAGCCGATCATCATGGAACTACAGAGCAGATTTACTCTGACCCAGCCAGCCACACCATGGGTTCTGGTGTTTATTATCCACATAAATCTGAGTCTGACAGCACCATCAGCTCTCCACTTGGCCCACAGATATGCCGGGTTTTCCTACAGAATAACACGTTTTCAGAAGGAATTATGCAGATCTATAATGAGGAAATGAAGTAGATGTAAACACGAGAGCTAAACTATGCAGGTTAGAGTCATAGAAACGCCAAATACCAACAGAAACGTGACAAAACCTGCGAGTGCCCAAGTGGACTCAAACCAGTCGGTTTTCTAAAACATGGACTACGGGACACCTGAGCAATGGTAATAAAAGTATCCTTCTTCAGGCACTCGCAGAGTACAGACGCTTCCCTCTTTTGCTCCCTTATCTTTTTTTCCCAAGGCTCTTTGTCCTGTCTGCCCACAGAGCGCTTCTCTGCATTTCTTCTGAAAAACTCTATTTTTACTAACCATGGATTTGATAAACTGGTCATTCAACGCGATCGATAAGATTTTTTCAACAATGAGAATGGAGCAGGGGGCTCCCACATGTCCACAGGGGACAAATCCGGTGGGATATATGTTGGATTCCTGGAAGGAGTGGAAGATCATATGCCTCTCCCAGCTGTCCATTGAGGACATCGAAGATGTGTGGATATTCGGCCTGATGATCACTGGATTTCTCCTGATTGGAGTGGGAGGATATCTGGTTTTCTGGAAATTTGGGAAGACGGGAGCGATTGGAGGGCGAACCGCACCCACGGAAAGCACCGTCCGTGTGGAGACTTCTCAGACTGGGACGTTACTCGAGGTGAATCGTAAGCTGGACAATGTTCTAGCTGTGATACCGGTATTAGTGCGCAAAATGGATGTCATCTCGGAGAGAGTCACCTGATGGTATGGACAAGTTTAAAAGCCCAAAATTGGCTTCACTGAAGGACTGGAAAGATCAGTTTAAAGACTGAAGGCAGAGAGGAAATTATCTCAGCCTGACCCAAACAAAGTCTTGTTATCTGAATCTGACGCCCTGGTAGCCTTGAGCTGCAAGCAACTAAAACCCCCACGAAGGAATGCAGACAGATGGTGTGAAACCCCGCCCCCCCCCCCCCCCCCCCCCCCGCCTTCAGATTAGGGACTTCAGCCTGGCGAGGTCATCAATCTGCAGGAGTCAATGTGCTCTTTGCTTCTCTCAAGATCTCCTTCCCACCTGTGACTGTACAGTAGATGAGCGCCGTAGATGGCTGCTCTCGCTGGGGGAAACAGGATCCCAGCCCAGAGGGTAACTCTGAAGTGCCTTTTTTTCCCTCCACCTGAACCAATCCTCATGTAACCCTCTGATCTCTATTAAGGTAGCGCGACTCGGGTTGCGAATGACCACAGTCACCAATTCTTGTCATGTGTCTTGCCCATGTATGTCTGATCTCTGAATTATGTGTACTGAAACTCTAATTTCCCTCTGGGATTAATAAAGTATCTTTGATTGATTGATGGACTACAGGACACCTGAGCGATGGTAATAAAAGTATCCTAATGTCTCATTCATTTTAACATCTTAACTTTGTTTTTATTGCATTTTTTAAGTCGTTCTTAAATGTTTGACTTGTTTTAATTCCATTTAAAATGTTAAGCCCCCCCCCCCCCCCCCCACCCCCGGTAGTGTAAATAAACATTGATTTGTTTAAAGGATTCAGGTGGAGACACACAGAATGACTATGAACCCCTCTCCTCCATCGAGGCCCTCCAGGGCCTCCGTCCAGCATATCTTTATTTAATTCAGTTTATTTATTCAAGAGTGGTCTCACTTCACAAAGTAAACATCCCAATTGAACCTATTCATACACACCGCCTCCAGCTCGTTAGGCCAGTTAGCCGAAAGTTTCCTATATAAGAAAAACAGCAGATTGCATCGAGTCACTGACTTGTTGAGTCAGAGACTTTACAGCATTCCCCACACTAACCAAGCATGTGGCGACAGTGGAGAGGAAAACTCCGTCCGCCATGACCGACGGGATTGGAGAAGACAGAGATGAGCATTTGCACCAAGTAGGTTAGAGGTTTCTCTGCTCCAACACACCTGGTTTGAATCAGCAGGTGACTAGCAGGCTTCAGCAGAGCCTGATGAACTCAGCAGGAGATTCAACCATTGGACCAGGTGTGTTGAAGCAGAGAAACAGCTAGAACCTGCTGGACACCACTGCCCTACGTCAAAGAGCCAGATCTCTTTGTTGCTGCTCTTGAACAATAAATGAGTAAAAGTGAAAACATCACAAGCTGACGTCGGCAGCAGAGACACGCTGGTTTTGGTTTCGTGGGATGATGCTGATTTCTGTATGAGTGCCTAAGCGTCTACATAGCTACTGCTGGTGTAGAAATAAACCTTATTTTGGTGCATCTCCGGATCACGTGGAGAACGTGCTAGATCGTGACGTCATATTTGAGTGTGACAAATGATTTTATGACCAATCTGGCGAAGGGCTGGATTTAGCGCAGCCCTGCTGCAGGCTGAACGGCTCCTTCAGGAATCGTTAGACGTGTTTGAGTTTGTTTAAAGCCATTTAACTGGCTGACATCCAGTTATGTTTGCATTTACATGAGTGAGGATAAAGCAGCAGATCCATGTGGACTGATTTATTCTTTTCTGGATCCCACGCTGGGCTCCGATCAGCTCTGGAGCGTTTTTATCAGACAGATTCTTGAGGCTGAAACCGCTGATCTGATTTCCTCTACAGAGAAACACAATCGTCTCTCAACAACAAGCACAGCACCAATGATACGCTTGTGTTTATATTCTGATGAATCCTCTCATCTCTCGGATGTTTTCCCCCTCAGGCATTAAAAGTGAACCCCCAGACGTTTCTCGGCCCCCCGCTGGGCCGTATTTACCTGCAGGCTGTCCCATGTGATCCTGCAGGAGCGGACTTTAATTTTGCTGCATTGTCCTTCAACAGTAAATTCCTGCACCAGATCCACCTCGTTCCACTCCATGCTCGCAGCCTGGCGCCGACTCAGCGGACCTTTCTGGGCTCGGAGAGGAGGACGCTACTGGACGAAGCCTCGGGAGGGGGGCTGGGGTACATCAGAGCGATCCTTATCACAACTTTCACTCCCGTCCGTCTGCCGATGTGATTTACTGCTCC